GTCATTAGGAAATAATTTGTGTTATTAGGAAAAAAATGAGCTCAGATATCGAAATCAAAGGCTGTTGGGTTGGATGTAGGTGAGTGAGATGAGATGCAAATATATTTGAACTAAGGTGCATTGATGGAACGCGCCGTCCAATCTTATCTCATGTGTTATTGAGCTAATTAACCCAATCAAGAAATAATGCAAGGTCGGAAGATGTACAGCCATAAAATTGAAATGAAATATAGTATTTCTATTAATTCCTGGTTAATACCTTGCCAGTATTTATCTTTCTTTGTTTTGAAAATTCATAGAAAAAATAAACACACAAAAAAATCTATAAAGTAAAACTAAATAATTACCTTCATATTTCAAGAATAAACCATAAATTTTGGATGATTTTTTTATAATCATCTCCATTTTTAGTTTTCTAATTTGATATTCTTTTTAAAGTGCTCTAAATATCTTATGATATCGTTCGATCATTTTCACCTATCTCTTTCTCATATGTTAGGTGTCAAGCCCTCCCCACACATGGAGAGGAAGTAGCTATAATAAAGCTTCATCTTTATTCCCTCTCATATGATCCATCATATTAGGCAGAATCTACGGAACCCACCTACCATTCTGTCTCTACCATCGCTTTCGTCATGAAATGTCTCTTCTTCCTCATTGTCTCTAAGCACTTTTTCGTCACGTTCGTCATAACCCTCTTCGTTTACGAAACATATATCTCCTTATACCGCTAATATCAGAGTGTAAGGATTCATAAAATTGAAATGAAATATAGTATTTCTATTAATTCCTAGCTAATAAAAATACTATTGCTAATATTGATCTATAAATTAATCATTTTTCTAAATCTATAAATTAAACTTAGAATGAATGAGATTTGAAATAATTACCTTGATATTTCAGAAATAAACCATAAAATGTCATTTTGAAAAGCCAAATTAAAATAATTTGTTAGACAACAAAATATTTAGGCTGATGTGGTGTCATGGACAGATCATTAACGTCTGATTTGTGCTATTGTAGCACCAAATCAGAACAAGCTTCCCGAGGAACTCAACCATTCATATATGAATCTTTCTTGGCAGGTTAAGAACAGTCAAAAGCCTTTCTTCAAACTCGGTGATTGAAACGCAACCTCAAATTGCACGAGAGAGAACATTCTGCATGGATTTATGGTCCAAGTCAATTAAGAAGGCAAGAAAGTATTTGCAGCATTGTATCCAGCGTGTTCCGAGGAAACATAATCTCATGGTTATCCATTTGATATTCCATGTGTAAGATTTCTGATCATCTTTAAATGATTGGAAATTATTCACCTTCCCTAAAATTTTTCAAATTAGCAAGTGTAATATTTTATTCTTATTTTCATCCATATCTATATATGTAATACTTTATTTTTATTTTCATCCATATCTATATACATGACTAAAATAGGATATTATATTTTTATCCTCATTGCTATTATAATCAAGAATACAACAAAAATTAGATAACTTATTAAATAAAATGATAAGGTTTCCTCTATACAATTAGGTTTTTAATATCTATACATAATTATAATATCTAACTAAAGAAAAATATAAATATAACAAATCCAAAATTTATATAAAAAAATATCCACAGGTCATTGTGTATATCTGTACATGAGGTTGTACATTCTCCCTTCCTCACTTAGGTGAGGTATTCTATTTTTTAGGTAAGGATACTAATATCCCATCCAAGTAATTGGGTAGGAAGGTGAGATGTGTAAATCTATATCGTTAATATAAACAATGAACTATAGATATTTTTTACAAATTTTTTTGGATATGTTATATTTATGTTTTCATTAATTTGATGATATAAATATATACAAGTGTTAAAAATACTATTTATTATTTTATTTAATAATTAGCATGTTTTAATTTTAAGATTATATACATTTCATGGTAGTCCTATTGATAATAGTAATAAAAATATAAAATATAATATTATACCTTAATCATACATGTAGGATACAGATAAAACTAAAAATAGGGTTACACTAAGTCTTCTGAATATTATCTTAATCCTTTATAAATATTTTTAGTTTTAAACCTAAATATTTTTATTTAGGTTTAAAACTTCTCTAATCATTAAATCTAGTTTTAAAAAATAATATTCCTCTTGAGATGAAAGATTCCTGATTTCCTATTTAATTTCCAAATTATTTCAAATTTAAGGTTTTGAGGGATTACACTCCCACTAACAAATAGAGGTGCTTTATCAATTAGAATGGATTTTCTCCCTCACTCATCATAAATACATTTTCTCCCAACAAATGAAATAATTATCTAATTTTTATGTCTAACAGGCCCCTATATCCTCCAAAAGTATAATGGCCTCATCACAATTAACATGTATCACTTCTTATTATATCAATTTTATATCTTACGTCAATTCTTCCTATTATGTACATTTATCAATCAAATATCTTCATAAAGATTGATCGCAATAAAAATATCATATGAGAGATTCAATCTAGAGCATGTTATTTGTTACATGATTTGAAGCAGGTCATAACTAATAGAGTTCTAACATGTATACCTAATCTAAGTAGATGGCTTATCTCTTGACGAATCATAATTAAACTCATGATTTATCAACATCATACCTTAATTGACCTGAACCTTAATTGAATCGGTCTTAATTGATTCAAACTTGACTTAATTCAATCGTAACCCGTTCAAACTAATATATTATTCTGATAAGACTAGTTTGAAATCATCCTAAACTGATATAACTTCGATTTGGTTAGATCTAATTATGAGTCAAACAAGTTTGAACTGGTCTACATCAATCCAAAGTTACCTTGAACTGGTCAAAAAGATCAAACTGGTTTGATACACGATTAATGAGAGTCAGCCGAGCCCAAATCCACTGAAACAGGAACTAAGAAAACTTGGATAGGAGTCTCAATCCATGGTGTCGCACACTGTTTTCTGTATGAACTATGACTTGTTCCTCCTAGTTGTGAAAGTTGCAATTGATAAAAAACAAAATTCTCACTGTTTTCAATCTGCACACAGTGCCTCTATTTGTTGTGGTAAGATAGGATTGATTGATCCTAGACAAGAAAGAGTCTTATACAATGGATGATTCCTCCAAGAAAGAGAGGACTCCTTCTTCACTCTCTTTTCCATAACATGTTTCTAAGCATCTAATGGGGCATTTCACAAAAGGAACTTGTGGTGTTGAAAAGCAAAGCTCAGGATTTGGAGATAGAATATTGCAATCACAGAAATCTGGTGTGAGCAAAGATCCATGGTGATGTTTTTAATTATGATATTGATAATTATAATGGGTAATAGTAATGAGATGGAGATGGTATTTGTATGACAATAGTAATGGTAATGATAATATTGGTGATATTAATTTTGATATCATGTAATGTATAATGGTATGATTGTTATATGATTCAAGGAAACAAATATAGCAAGAAAGAAAGAAAAGTACAATCTAAATTTCTTCCATGATTTGACCAAAAGTCAATGACAGTGTTCTTGTAATAAATCAGAAAAAATTCTCTGCAATCTGCATGTTGATTCCTTCGAATCCAGATCTGATTCAAACAAAACAAAATATAAAAGACCTGTCAGAGAGTTCAGTATCTTCTTTGTGGCCAATTGCTTGTCACCTGATGCAGAATACAAGACTCAATTTAGCATCAAAAGACCCCCTTTTTTTATCTCTTATATTGAGGATCAAAAGACTTGCTTAGAAAAAAAGTACTTGATATGAACAGGAAATGGCTTTGATATTTACTTCATCTTGTCTTGCAACTTGTTTGGTGCTGCGCCCACTGTTCTCATCCTCCCTCAGCAAAGGCATCTTCTTCTAAAGCTTCCAAGCATATAGCCAAACCCCATATCACCTTGACATCTTTATTCATGGCATTGAGCTCAGTCCACATCCATATAATAAACTGTTTATATTGTACTTAAATCTATGACAAGACTTGTTGCAACTTGCAACTATTACTAATTGTTCTAACCAATCTGTGTTTGAGGTAGGAAACAACAAAAGGCAAAACCTAGAACACAAGAGCATGTCCTGTACCTGGGAGTAGACTAAGTAAAGCTTCAGAAAGCTACTCTTTTTTTTTCCTTGTTTTCTCCTCCTTTCATGGAGAATTCTCACTCAAACTTCCAATGGAACTCTCTATCTCCCTCTCAGTCTCACATCCACACACAGTCTGAGTTGTTCTCCAATCACACAGTCACAGTCTTCCTACCACCTTTTTTTCTTCTGCTTGATGACCTTTTAAGTGTCTCTTTGCAGACCTTTTGATGAGTTGAGATCCAACTGTTCCCCGTTCTCACTATGAGACAGCCACATAAACCTTTCGATCCCTGCATCATCCTCCACCCTCTCCCCGGGGGTGGTTTAGGTCTGTCCTTCCCCAACTCACTCCACCACCACAATAGCAAAGTGGTTCGGGTCAGCGCCGCACTCGAAAGTCTCCCCATCTGCGTTCATGTCGACATAATGGCACGCTGCTCTCAACTTGACGTCGGCGTTAGGGCAGGCAAGCAGGCTGTGGGAATCCATTAGGGTGGAGTCGTAAGAGGAAGGCTGATCGAGTCATTGCAAGCTTTATGTCAGCACATCGTGGTGGGTCACCAAATACTAGGTGAGAGACCTGATGAGCTCCGCCTGTGGAGTTCTCGTGACTCGCCTCGTCTCTTGAATCGACCCATCTCTTGTTTCGAGGAGGAAGAAGTAAAGTTCGATGGATCAAAACGATGGAATCCAACGGTCGGACGCATGATAACCTGGGACTCGCATCACATCAGCTCCTCCGGTCCCATGGCGTGAGCCCTCAGGACCGCAATAGTTTTACCGATGGGTGGCGAGTCTTGCGGGCCACCGCGGCATTAATGCCATGTTTGAAGTAGCAGCAGCTCCTCTCTCTTCCTTTATTATCTGCCGCTACCTTTCACGACACCGTCAAGACACAGACAACCAGACGTATATATTTCAAGACCAAAGGAGTCGAGAGAAAGAGAGCTGTCCTCTTTCCTTCTTTCTCTCTCCCTCTCTTTCCTTCGTTTCCTGTTCACTTTCAGTTTACGCCTCAGCGGTATGCTCGTTGAGGGCAGGAGTGGCCAGGTGTGTGGCGTGTCTCAGAGATGGGATTGGAGGTGTGAGAAGCTTTGAAGATGAACTCCGGCGAACAAGTTTGGTCGAGGATGGACGTGGAGAGACGGAATCACCCTCCACTTGTGAGTTCTGCCTCCTTCTTTCCCCTCTGTTCTTGTGTTTCTTCTTCTTCCATAAAAGAATTTTGATTCTGAGACTGCTTTGTTTTCTCGCCTTTTGTGATTGCAGAAAGATTGTGAGGAAAAAGATTTGACTCATTCTTGTTCTTGTGGGTGCTAATAATTGTTTGGTGTTCTTGCCTTGATTAGTGGTAATTCATTGCTTAGTTTCATTTAAAGAGCCCATATAACCTGCTACAGATAAAGGTGTTGCGGTATGAAGATTAAGAGTGCTCTTAATTAGAAAATAAGGGTACAAAGGAAAGAAAATAATGAGTTTGGGTGAGCTTAATAAATTGATAGGCGAACAACCCATCTCCCCTTCCATACAATAAAACTAGTGTGATGTCAATGTTAGCTTATACTGTGAGCAACCATCTTTGTTGTTGATGATCTCAAAGTTCAATTTTCACTATATATATATAAAACACATTGGAGGCTTTACCTGTGCTATTTGGTTCTGATCCAAATCAAATGAATTGTAGATCGACGCGAATCTATGACTCCATTTGATGTCTGTCATGAGTGCAGGTTGATAGCTCAGCATGCCTCTGTAGAGTAGATGGTGGCTTCAAGACAGTGACGGGAGGCAAGAAATATGTCCCCGGCAGCAAGCTCTGCGTTCAGCCCAAGATCAGAACGTCGATCCACCCCGTGAGGTCGAAGCCAGCGCAGGAGAGGAATCGCTGCCAGTCTCCTCTGCTGCCCGGCCTCCCCGACGACCTCGCCATCGCCTGCCTCATCCGCGTGCCACGGGCCGAGCACCGGAAGCTCAGGCTGGTCTGCAAGAGGTGGCAACGCCTCCTAGCCGGGAACTACTTCTACTCACTCCGCAGGAGCCTCGGCATCGCGGAAGAGTGGATCTACGTCATCAGAAGAGATAGGGATGGGCGGATATCGTGGGACGCCTTCGATCCCAGGTACCAGCTCTGGCATCCCCTGCCTCCCATCCCCAAGGAGTACTCCGAGGCCACCGGGTTCGGCTGCGCCGTCTTGAGCGGCTGTCATCTGTACCTCTTAGGGGGCAAGGATCGTCGCAAGGGATCGATGCGGCGCGTCATCTACTACAGCGCGAGGACCAACAAGTGGCACCGCGCGCCCGACATGCTTCGGAGGAGGCACCTCTTCGGTTCTTGCGTCATCAACAACTGCTTGTATGTTGCCGGAGGGGAGAGCGAAGGCGTTCACCGCTCGCTCAGGTCGGCGGAGTTCTACGATCCCAACAAGAACCGGTGGACGTACATCTCCGACATGAGCACCGCGATGGTCCCCTTCATCGGCGTCGTCTACGAGGGGAAGTGGTTCTTGAAGGGGCTCGGAGCCCAGCGGCAGGTCATCTGTGATGCCTACTTCCCGGACACGGACCGATGGTGCCCGGTGTTCAATGGCATGGTGACGGGATGGAGGAACCCATCCGTCTGCTTGAATGGTCAGCTCTACGCTCTCGACTGCAAGGACGGCTGCAAGCTGAGGTCATACGACGCATCCACGGATTCGTGGAGTATACATATCGACAGCAAGCTGCACCTGGGGAGTTCTCGAGCCCTCGAAGCAGCGGCTCTGCTTCCTCTCAGGGGGAAGCTGTGCATCGTCAGGAACAACATGAGCATTACTCTGGTCGACGTGGAAGCGAAGGATAGCGGAGACCTGAGGTGGGAGACGGTGGCAGGGAGAGGGCAGCTGAGGACCTTTGTCACCAACCTCTTGTCGAACATTGCAGGCCGCGGTGGTCTCAGGAGTCATATCGTTCACTGTCAAGTACTACAGGCTTAGAACACAAGACATGCAAGAAGGCAAGGGGACTCCAATGATCTGTTCTTTTTCTTCTCCCTTTGTTCCTCTCTCTGTAATAAGTGATCAGCGTTCTAGCAGATTAGGACATGTTCAGCTGCCACAAAAGAAGTTGCATGTATCCTCTACAATATGAGTCATAAATAATTTCGAATCGAGAAGAAACTCCCAAGTGTGATCATTGACTGTTATTTGAATCAATTATTTGGCCCAGATCGTGGTTCGAGCCACTTGGTCTGATTTGATCAAGTCCAACCGCCTAACAGCCCTGCGCGACCCCTTCTGCGTAGCCAAAAACCCTTATCAGTCGTCACCCCGTCCCGCGATCGGCTCTCCTCCTCCCTGTCGATGAGACGAGGGGCTATCGGCAGGCCCCCCTCCCGTGGTACGTCTCTCTCTCTCTCTCTCTCTCTATTTTCGTCGGTGCAGCCTCGCTCTCGCTCTCCCTCTTTCTCCCGCCGGCAAAGGCACACACAACCCCTCCTCTTTTTGCTGCCGGTCCTCCAAACCTCCCGTATTATCTGCCTAGGTTCGGCAGCTCTCTTTCGGCTGCCCCCTCTCTGCCTCTGTAATCTATATCTCCTTATATTTCTGATAATTTTGTATTGGCGAGTGCCTTGATTCGCTCGGGCGTTGGGCGTTTTGAAATCTTGTTTTTTGACAACACTGGATCTCTTCCCCTCGCCTGGTCCCTCGTTCCCTCTCCACCTTGACGCTGCTTGACTTCCTCCTGAGACCGCCACCTCCATCGCGCACTCGGACAGGGGTCCTCCGCCCGTGCCATCAACCGTTCTTCTCCGTCTCCTTCTCCCTCGCATCGGCAAGATCTTCCTTTCTCTCCTCTGGGTTGCACGCAGCCCCCTCGTGCTTCCCAATCCTTTGGCCTCTATATGTCAGAGGCATACTTGTTATGCTCATGAATTACTAGTTATTGCATGAAAATTGCATTCTTTTCCTGGCGATTATACCCTATGACAAAATCTCTGTCTCTGTATCCCTGTATTTTAACTTCTTGTAGATGGCGAGGCATGCACTCAATGGCTTCATGATTATACTGTGTTGGGAGACTTTGATGGTTCTCATGTTGTTTGTTGCTTAACTTTTAGAAGCGTCTTTTTTTGGGTTCCTAGCTTGGTATGAATTTGGTGAGCATGTGCTCGACTTCCTGGAGGACTTTTTCATTTAAAGGGACCAATGGACAGGGTTATTTAGATGTTACGATTTGTAAACTAGTTATTTTCCTTGTGATAACTAGCCGTGTCTTTTGATGCAGTTCTTTGTATCTTGTTCCAAAATCAATCTTTTGGAAGGAAAAACTACGAGAAACTAAAATGATTAAACAATTATGCTATAAAGCTGCCGAACAATTGCAAAACCCACTTTGTTTTCTGATTCAGCAGGTCAGTTTTTCCTTTGAATTCCAATTACTTCAATGATCAATATTTGTTGACAGCAGAAGCTTTTTCGCCTTTTAACAGCGAGGGATTCACAGCCGGAACAAGAAAGCCATGGAACTAGTGGCAAAAGGTTGGAGTGCACTACAAGAAGTTGATAGGGTCATTGACTATGCTGATCGCAATGACCATCGTCTCATCCCACTCCTTAGAGTATGCAACAATAAGAGAATTAAAAAAGAAGCCCTTTTCTAACCATATCATCTTCTTATATTTCTCTCCAGCATACTCTCTTAATTATTTTTTGTCAATTCCTCAACAAAAGCTCCTTTTGTCATACTTTTTGCACTCCTGAAGTAATTAATTTTAGTGTCGTTGATCTACAAGACAAACCTGGACTAGTCAATTGCCTCTTCTGAATGGATGGTTTTGCTAACAGGGCGCAAAGGAAAATTTTGAGTTGGCGCTCGAAATTGACAATATGAACACTCATGCAAGATACTGGTTGGGCAGGATGCATCTCAAGTATCATGTTCCCGGGGCTTGTAAAGCGATGTGAGTGATTGAGCTTCCTAGTTTGCTTATGTATAGAATATGCTCTGTATAGCATTGGTGATAATCATATGCCAAAATAAATGTGTCTACCTTTGATTTCTTCAATACATTAAAGAACAGAAAATGACGTTTTTTTAGAAATGAAGGAGACTTATTCTGTGGATAGAGCACATTATGGGGCTGCTGGGCTATTCTCATGTTTTTTATGAATGAGTACAATATAAGCACAGAGATAACTTGTTAAAAAGAGAGAAAGAGGTAGATCATGAGTTTCTTGTCAAATATATGATTCAATTTCCTGTTCATAACACATAACATATAAGGGAAGAATTTTTTGCTTGTGCTAGTAGGCCAGGGAATTTGCTTCAATCAGATCAACTATTTGATGGGTTTATATTCTTAAAAATATTATCATGTCATTCAATTTCTCGGAATAACCGGCTTTTCAACTGAAAGGAGGTAGAAGCTCTGAGATGGAAAGGAGGGCAGCTCGGCGTTAGGTAGTTAGGAGCGAAGGTAGTACGAGGCAGAGCCAAGACTCAGATCGGATGGAACCATCAATACAATCAAAGATCATGAGAACTCTTTTTTCCACACAACGACTAATCCTGAAAGACTACTTTGAAGCATTCAATGTAGTCAGCCTGAGCAAGGATGTTACGAAGTCGGAAATGTGACCCAAAGCGGTCAATGTGTTAAACCGGCTCATCTTAGGTCGGACAATCCTGGGAACGAACAAGAGAGCCATAATCCCAATTCTTATCTAATTGACTTAACTGGCACTACGATTCTGATTCCGCTTCCAATCTAGCTACATATAAAGCCTCTTATCTATGGTGGCTGAAGACTAAATTTTTGCATGAACTCTGAGAATATTACTGCGTAGTCCCCTAGAAAGTAAACATGTATTGAGGATTTCCCCTTTCATGTGCTTTTTAGAGTTGATATTTAAATTGGGATTAAATGTAGTTCTTCTAATGTGTCTGACTCTTTTTTTCTTTTCTTTCGAGAACATCAGAACAGATCAGGCAATAACTGTCCAAAACACTACTGTCCAAATGAAATTTGTTCGCAAGATGTATTATTATTTTTACCACAAACAACATAGTTATACAATTATATTTTGTCATTCTTTTTGTTTTCTTTCTTGTTTTATCCTCAGTGGAGCAGCCTTATTGGTGGAGGCTGCAAACATGGGTGATCCAGATGCACAATACGAACTTGGTTGCCGTCTCCGAGTTGAGGTCAGGTTCTCATAGTTGTTGGCACTCTAACTTAATTAGAGATATGCCAAACAATTTTGTCTCAAGGTTCCTTCAGCATATACAAATTTTTCATATTTTACTCCTTGCATGACTCATAAAACGTAACAAGATCATTACTAAAAAGCTTGGCTAAAATGGTTTTCTTTTGCTTGCATACTTGGTGCAAAGCTTAGATTTCTTGGTTATGTTCTATTATGTCTGCTCGTCTACAAAGTCTTTTTTAAATAACCAATACTTGAAAATCTTTGAAAGTAATCACTGTGATACCAAAATTTCTTCCGTCTTTTCTGGGTCACAAATATACATACCAGACATTTTTTATGAAGGTTTAAAATCATGATCAGATACCGGTTATGACACATTGTTGCATCGGGTCCCAGACCAGTATACCATTTGGTATTCTGACCTGTATCACACAGTGTTGCTGAAAAAATAAGAAGTGAATATTGCTTGGTATGAGCTATATGGTTTGGCACCAATCTTCTATCGGCTAGTACATAGGGGTTTGACCAGTATTTAAAAACCTTTTTTTTTATACTTTTAGGTTTCATTCTGTGGTGGTAAACTTTGTTGCTTCAGTAATAAGATTCCACATGATAACTGTCACCATTTTATTGAAGTCAGAATGTAAAAATGGTGAGCATGGTAGATCATAATGAGTTAAATTAGCAACTTCAGTTCTTTCAGCATGAGCAATGAGTTTTGTTGATTTTACAGGAAAAATTATCATGCTTTCTATTTTAAAATAGCATATACTTCAGAAATACAAGTTCATATAATTTTATGATTGGAGAATCTTTCTCGGAAAATTTTCTGTAAACTCTGTTGGCTTGAGTTTTAGTTTGCAAAACAATGTTTGTTTGAGTAGCATCACTCACTCTACATTGCTTCAAAGAACATGATCAATTTTCATAAATTCTTTTGTACCAAAAACTTGCACTGAGCTTGGACACAGAAATCATCACTCGATTAGTTAAACATTCAATACAGATGGAATAGCATTGTTCTTGTTCCATAGGGAGCTGGGCATGTCCTTTTCTTTAGCACCCACACGGCTGCACCTATATCACTTCCCAAATGTTCCACATTCCATGTTCCAATGGTGTAGCACATCTCTTCTTCTAATTTGTATCTATTAGGGACAGAGCCCGTACCACATCCCAAATGTTCCTCATTCCTTATTCGATCTTGTATCTAACTGGGACAAAATATATTGTTCTTGGTTACCCTTTAAAACTGAATGAAATTTAAATCAGATTCAGTTATTTAAGTAAAAAAAAAGTTTTCTCATTGCATGGTTCACCTGAAAGATTCTGTTCAAGTACTGACTTGTAGTTTAGTACTTTGGAAAGGCAACCATAAATGATCATCAACTGGATACTAGACTGAGTATTTAGTGAAAACAATTTGTCAGATTCATTTTTAAGTAACTATCCAAATTCTTAAATCAACAGTTCGTGATAATGTTCCAATTCTTATCGAGTCCTCCGGGTGCTAGTTGTATCCTGGCGCAGAAAGAAGAGGCATAGAAAAGAAAGTGGGTGACAAGCAGTGATAGGGACCTCGGACAATAGGTAGTCAGTAATATCAGCAGTCTAGCAGTGAATCAATGTTCATTATTCTTCCATTCCTGTTGCTGTTCCCATTAAGTGTGAAGCTTAGATTCATTAACTTTACTATTTTCACTTCAAAATGGTGTCAAAAACTGCAACCATATTTATTAGCGGTCACTGATATCATGATGCTTAATTCAGCTGGATTTTCTTTCTTTTTTTGTATTGATAAATTATTTGATTATCTAACCTAGAATCATCTCCAATGACAATATTGAGAAATTTGCTTCCTCAAAATTTTTATGATCCTGGATAATTATTTTTCTACTTGGGATTTTTTTTCAGAGTTGTTATCTGCTAAATTTAGGTTATTATTGGCACAGAATGACCATGTTCAGTCAGATCAACAAGCTTTCTATTATATCGAAAAGGCTGTTGACCAGGTATTCTTACCTAAATGTGAAAATGAGTCTCCTGATATCAAGTCATCCTAACATATCTCAATCAAATTTTGGCTCCAGTTGCATCCACGTGCTCTCTATCTTCTAGGAGCTGTATATTTAGCTGGGGACTGTGTGAAGAAAGATGTTGCTTCAGCTATATGGTGCTTCCACAGAGCATCAGAGAAAGTATTGTATTCTTATTCATTTTTATTGTTAATTCAACTCAGATGACTTAGTAGTCCAGTGAAAATTTAAAGTGTTGAACTTGTTACATACAGACATATGAAGTATTACAAATTAAAAACCCTGATACTTTGCATTTGATTGATCACAGGGTCATGCTGGAGCAGCAATTGCTTATGGATCACTTTTGCTGCAAGGTATTATGAATGATATAATATTTAACAAAAAATATTTGGATCACTGCTTCAATATATTTTCCAACTTTTGTTCATGAGTTTAGCAAACATATGGACTACAGGTTATGAAGTGCCAGAGGTTATAACCAGGTTTAACTCTGATAGGAGCCCATCTACCGGTGCACTGAGGAAGAAAGGGAAGAAAGTTAGGCATGACCCTTTGGTGCTAGCAAAGGAACAGTTTCAAATTGCAGCTGATGCTGGTTGTGATCTTGGTCTGCGGTGGCTGAAAACGATTTCTGATGATGAGAAGTTACAGCAGCAGACAACCCAGTGAAGTCTCTATTCATTCCAATGACTCTAGCAGTCTATACTTGTATCCTAGTGCAGCAACCAACTGAAAATGTTTAAATGGGTAATAATTTGGTTGGGCATTGTCTTATCTTTTTGGTTAATATGTCTACCAAACTCAAATGATTAGATTATACCTCATCCTTTTGCATACAATGTAGCCCCAATGTCTGTATTATTTTTGTGGTAAAGACACGTATTTGGTTTTATAATGTCACCCTGTGTTCTTAGATGTTAGTTACATGCGTGAGCTCTCGATGATGAATTGTTGTTACTGTAATATTATTAGCATGTCACAGGGCATCTTGGCTTAACGCAGAGGCGTGGGCGTGAAATTTCACTGCCTTTTACGTGGGTCCCACACCTGTTCCTACAACGTCGAAGCGAGTAGATTGTGGGTAAGTCTTGAACGGGATGGAAAAGTATCGTTCGTCTCAAGTCATGGCTTGCTTCTAATCGGACCTTCGGACTCGAGACGCGGTGCGACTCGACTCGCTCTCCCTCTATCTTTAACCGTATCGTTCACATGGCCTGTTTCCATTCTCATCGGCACCCTGGGCGGGCGAAGGAAAGGCTTTCGGAGGGGGAGGGTAAGGGGTTCGTCGTCTCCTACTCTGTTCGAAGGACTCCCGGATGGAGGAGATCACGGAAGGCGTGAACAATCTCCACGTCACCGCCGCCGATTCCCACAAGAAGAATCGGATCCAGGTGTCCAACACGAAGAAGCCCCTCTTCTTCTACGTCAACCTTGCCAAGGTACTACCTCAATTCCCTACCTGGAAGAGCCTTGTTTTCTGTTTTGTATTTGGTTTAGAAGATCAAGATTGCCCCATTCTTCGCTCTTTTTTTATCCTCTATAGCTGCTCTAGTCAGTATTTAGGTTTTCTAGATTAAAAAAAAAGTATTTTTGGATGAAGCTCTCTTGTTCTTAATGTTTTTCTCCTCCTTTCCTTCCTCATTTCTCACGTCCAAAATAACTTGATTATTTGACGGGTGTTGCCATGCACTGTTCAATGCAGAGGTATATGCAGCAATACAATGAAGTTGAGCTGTCAGCTCTTGGAATGGGTACACATTATTTCTTATCTGGTGTACTTAACTTCTTTGGAATTCAAGTCTCTTCTACAATTATGTTTGTCGTTTTGCATTATTATGTCAATCTTTCTTTTGAAAGAGCTAACATTCACTAGTTGGTCCTTTATGTTAAGCAGGCAGTTGTGCATATATCATAGAAGTGATTTCTTAAGGTCTTTATTTGGTAGCTTGGTTTATTGGTCGCCTTTAGGAGGATTATTTTGTATCTGAGAACTTTCAGAAGAAACAATTAATTTGGATTTAAACATGTCCAGTCCTATATGCTGTGGTGTCGTATATGTAGCCATTCTCTTTAAAGTTTTCATTTGGTCGATTTCAGATCAAACCCCTGAGAACTTTGTTTCATTGAGATTTATTTTAATTGTTGCCTTATATCTTGCTTGCTGATGATTCATATTTTCAACTTATGGTTGATTTTTGGATGCTATAAAGTATAAGTAGCAGATGAATTTATGCACTTAATTTTCATGGCCCTTTATGTTGATTTATAATTATTGTGCAAGTCAAAACTTTACATGGAAGGAATACCAGCTGTTATTGGTACTAGAGTTAGGTATCTTGATCTAGTGAGCTAGTGTGATCCTAAGTATTGGGCTTTGGTCCAATGTTTCTTTGTGGTAGTTTTCCTCATTGAATTCTAGTGGTTAGTGATAGTATGGAAATCAAATTTATGACACTTTAGGTTCTGTTCTTTGGTAAAATATTTCCTTCAAAGTATCTTTCTTGAGGAGGTATTTCCCAGGTTGGCATCCAAATATTACCAGTTTTTTGTTGTTGGCATGTACCACTGCGTTCTTTTCTGTTTCTTAACTTTCCTAATTTACTTCAGATCATTCTCAACATATTCAAGTTCTTGGACATTCAGTCTCTTTTGAATCCTATTTTTGTTTAACCAATTTTCAAGATTACATAAACAAATATAAACATGGGGGGAAGTATATTGTAATTTTGTAAGGTGATGCTATAGATGCATGACGAGCCAGAGCCATGTCTTTGCCACATCCAAGTATCTCTTAACCCAAAGATCATGCCTCTTTATTCTCTTCTTTCTAACATATCCAATAAACTTGCCACTTGTGACTTTTCTTTCTATCTATTTACCAGGCTGTCATGTTTATTATCATATCGTGTTCCGTTCTTGTGCTTTTATAAAGATTATCATATTGTCTTTCATAATGATGTGAAAATTATGGGACTATATTATTTGTCATATGTGGTTTAGCCCATTCTTGATTGAAAATGACTGGAGAAAAGATTCTAATTGTTAGAAGTGATGAAGATTTCCTCTACAATAATAAACTATAATATTGTTCTTAGTCTTATAAATGCTTAACATTTTTGTGTTGTAAAACATAAGCCTATGGAGCATGACTACTATTAATGCTTGTTGTGTCTGTCTGATTTGCTTGCTAGACATGGACACATGTCAGATCTTTGAAAGCATATTAGGATTCTTGTACCTCCTCCACTTATTTTGATAAGGTTTCTTATATATGTAGGATATTTATGTAGGTGATGTAAGAATTCAGCGCATATCCGATGTAGTAGTATGTATATACTATGTAACAATGTTATATATGTTCAAATATTTTAATGCATATAATTTGATTATGATCATCATAGCATGTCTAAATTGTACACGGTACAAAATTATAATAGTCTGTTCTGTTCATAACATAAATGTATTAATTGTTATTTGAAGCCGGTTCCTAAATCATTTTTCTAGATGTTGCTGTTTCAGACTTCCATTGAATCACTTCTAATGCATTTAAGAAGTTTTATATTCCAACTTTGTTCTTGGGAATATCCAGAAATTGGTGTTTTATTACACACAGGTTAAAAGAAACAGTAGTAAAGAGGAACCATAGTAAGCAATGTAATGTATAAATATTCCTATTCATAAAGCCTTTATGGTTATAGTGGTTGATAAAATTCCGCACTATAGCTGCTACTTAAAAAATAAACAATGTCAGCTTTCATAGAATTTGTAAATGTGTTAAGCTAAACAAACCATTTGTAATAATGTTGCAGTTTTCAAAAGCTTGATAGATAAATCTCGATCCAATCTGGTCGATCTGGACTGAGATTAGATAGGTCCGACATTGATCCCCCCATATTCTTTGGGTTTGTTGCTGAAGATGGATCAGTCCCAGGTCTGTTTGACTGATTTACAATTTGTCCATCCTGACAAACCAGCTTGTTCTTATTGATCCTGACTGATTCCTGCTTGTTCTAAAACAAAACCTGGCACAACAATTAAATTTGACCAATTCAGGCCAATTGTAATTCTAAATCCTAGTGCTGATCTTTATTCTGGTCTGATCTTGTAAACAGACAATTGATCCACAACATCACCTTCATTGAAGTGAGGCTTCCTCTCAATAAAAAACTGTCAATTAATAATCTTGATAAATCAGCAATCATTATAGGCTGACAACTGATCATATTAGTAGGGATTCTTTTTGAGAGTATGACTTCATTTTCTTTTAATTTTTTTCTGTTTTTTCAGGTTAGAAGTGTGAGCAACTGCATCTGCTTCTTATTTCTTTCTTCTTTGAATTTTGGTCATGCTGAATTATTTTAAGCTAATGTTGGATTTGTGATTCTTTTATGTGGCAGTGTCAAACTTCGTCTAGCTGATCTTTTTCATCTTCTTCAACACCAACTTTACCAAAATTGGATGGCAATTCTATTTCGTCCTCATTTTACCTTTTTCTTATGTATATACTCTCTTCTTGACAATTTGGGCAGCTTATGTAAGATACTTCTTAGCTCAAGATAGTGCACAATTTGTGGTACACAAATGGACACTTTAGAATGTATGAATTATTTGGCAATTTCCTTCTAGTATAACAGTTTTTTCTGTGTTATCATTAAATCTTACAAGTTATAATTAAGCTAGCTGTTGACCAAGAGAATCAACAATAATAGAGATTAGTTAAATCAGAGAGGGGCATTTACGCTATGATACAGAGCAAGCTAATGAGCTAAATATGAAGTTTTGGGAGATGGTAAGACTTGTATACAATTTATGTAATCAATTTTGTGAAAGTAATTTATTTATTGAGTAATTAATTAAATTTATAAAGAGAAGATGTAATGCCTGTATATAGTTTTTGTTATTTTAGAATCTGTAGTAGAGTTACTAAAGATATAGTAGAATGGATTTTGAAAAAGAAAGGGATATGTTGGAGTTATGTTGAATTGATAAAAGATATATATGAAATATTCATCGTAGGATGATCAAAGGACATATTTTAAAATTATGCTAAGTGACAAGATTTATAATATGCAGTGCAATTTTGTTAACCCCAAGATAATATTTGACTATAAAAATAGATGGACATGGTTTTCTTATGAATAAAGGTTGCAAATAACTTGGATTCATGAAGATGTTACTTGTAACAATTTTTGAGATGGGCAAAGAGAGATGGATAAGTGTTACAATTCTTGTGTCTTTGACTTAAAGGGTGATTTTGTAGGGTGGTTGTATGACAGCATTGAGTGGTAAGGAAATAGCTTATACTAAATTTAGTATGACTTAGGTGTGGATGATAGATAATTGTGTGGGTTTACTGGAAAATACAGGATAAATCATGTTACATTTGTGAATGATTAGAGGTAGCTCCTGTTGATGATTTAATGTGGATAAATTATTTATGGTGGTGTGGACATCTATAAGTACACTGGTTAGATGATGTCAATCAAGTGTAATAGTGGTGTGAGGAGAGGAAGAGGAAGAGGCAGTGGCAGACCCAAGAAAACATAAAGATACCGAAGGATTTATTGGCTCTTGTTATGACTAGTGATATGGTCCTCAACTGAGCTCATCGGAAAGACGATAATTTTTTGTCAATCCGAAATAGTTGGGACATTACGATTCTCAGGACAGTTTTGCAGGTGGCATACGTTAGGCTTGGAATGTTCACAGTCTTAGTATAGTTTCCTTTCTTATCTGTCTAATATTTAGGATAAAATAAGTTGATTAGAGATCGTAGACAGAAACTCAGAAATCATGGACATAATAGTTATTCGCATTTGTATTGCTAATAGTTGTGGACCTTTGGATGCAGCAATAGACCTAATGATTTGAATAAATTCTTTTGTGAAGTTATAGTAATGGCACAAGCACTTCTTCCGATCATGAAAGTTGTGCTTTGGATTTACACTTTGCTATTAATATCTAATGCCACAGATTGCAAAGTGTAGCTTCTTGAACATTTAATTATATTTTATGACCATTTACTATTCTATATTGAACTTTTCAGCAATTGCAACTGTTGTCACTATCACGGAAATTCTGAAAAACAATGGCCTAGCTATCGAGAAGAGTAAGATCATAGATTCTTCTGTGCTTTCTGTTCTTTTTTTGGATTATTTCCTTTTTTTCTTTTTATATCCATTTGCAATTCGGGTTTGGACATTAATTGTTTGTTGAAAAATTTTGTGCAGAGATCACAACATCAACCGTTGATGTTAAGGATGAATCTAGGGGGGGTCGGCCCATGCAAAAAGCAAAGGTGCAAGTCAATTACATTTTGATCACTTTTTAGTGGTGTTACATTTTGTTGATTTGAGCTTCCTATCCAGATTGAGATATTGTTGGGCAAGACAGAGAACTTCGATGAATTGATGGCTTCCGCGGCTGAGGAAAGGGATGTGGGAGATGGTGAGGAGCAAAGCTGAAAGTATTCGAGCCTTTGGTGGTGCATCGGGTTTACTCTTTACTTGCTTTCCTGCTCGATAGATGGTAGTTTGTTATGAAGTGAGAATACAACATTAAGCGTGCTTTTTCGGAGTTTGCAATTTTCGTGCCCGGTAGTAGTGTTAGCCCCCTGTTCCCTTAATTTTCTTGGTTCTTCCTAGGTGCTGGATTTACCAAGGAAGACGTGCTGTTGGAAATTAAAGCTACATGTAATCCTGTTCTTTGCTGAATAAATTGACTTCTTGGTGTTTTTGTAATCCCCACGCCTGCACTGATTGTACATAACTGAATCCTGCAGATTAAAGCAGCCTGTTACTTCGACGCCCAGCTTTGTGAAGTCTCCTTCAGTTGTGTGCTTCAAACTTGCGCCTAATTGCTTGGGAACGTCTGATATGTGCCCCATGTTTGAGATATCTTACAACAAGTCTTTTGCCTGCGGAATGTAAAGTCAAGTCACTTATGATGTAATGGTGTCAAAATATGCCTTGAACAATAACTAAAGGTTCATCCCAAGCATCTTTCTAATCCAATCGTATATTAAGAAAATGTGGTGATGGCTACACATTCTTGAGCTCCTCTTCTTAACAGAGTCATCATGACATGTGGTTGATGCATCATCATAGTGTGGTTAGCACCATATGACAGAGCAGATCGAACGTTATCGTGCTTTGGATTCGATGTAACATGATTGGAGTTAAGTCTAGACAATGCACATCATGATCTTTATGGCCAGTGCTTACTGTAAAGATACGACATCTAGAGCTCGGTATAAAAGGGTTTTTCAAGTACATTCACAAGATAACTTTTTGTTAAAAAAGATTAACCGAATCGTCTAAATCACTTGTTAAAGGAAAATATTATTGACGTCTTGATGAGTCTGACATGGTTATGACATGTATGTATAGGGTTGTCCGATATGCCTCCAAGGTGGTAACAACGAACTCCAAAGATGTCACATGTATCAAGATCGAGGATGGGAAGGTTTCCATTTTTTATACATAATCATAAAAGATTTTATTGTGTTAAAAGTAAGATTTTATACATAATCATAAAAGATGAGAAGAAAGCTTACGATTGCCTTTCTAGTCATAAGCGGCAAGAATAAAATTTACGATTACCTTTCTTGTTATAAATGATAAGAAAAAAGATTGTGATTGTTTTTCTGGTCATAAATGATAAGAAAGAAGTTTTGTTTTCTTCCTCTTTGGGCATTACCTGACGATGATATGTTGGATGATTAGCCAACAATATATCCCTTATCATTTGTTCGCGCCCAACCCCCCCCCACCCCCAAGGCGTGCTTCGAGGCTCGAAGTATAGCGTTTAGTTCATCCGATACGAGAGCATTCAAGATTTTCTCTCACGAGTTAGGTTTTTTGACTCACGTGCCTCAGACACATTTAGCCTTACGTCTTCGTCGTGATGTATTTCTCTTCACATGAGTTGAGTTTTTCCGACTCACATGCTTCAAGCACATTTTACTTTATGTCTTTGTCGTGATAGATTTCTCGTTATGAGGGTCGGGTTTTTTCAACTCATGCACATGAGCATATTTTACCTTGTACCTCTATTGTGACAGATTTCTCTTTATGCGAGTCGAGTTTTCTCAACTTACGTACCTCGAACACATTTTACCTTATGCCTCTAATGTGATGAATTTCTCTTCATACGGGTTAGATTTTTTCAACTCATACACTTTGTGCACATTTGACTTTACATCTCTGTCGTGATAGATTTCTTTTTATGCAGGTCAAGTTTTTCTGAGTCACACGCCTCAGACACATTTTATCTTGTGTCATTGCGGTGATAGATTTCTCTTTACATGGGTTGGGTTTTCTCTACTCATGCGTCTTGAGCACATTTTACTTTGTGCCTCTGTCATGATGTATTTCTCTTCACATGGGTTAGGTTTTTTTTAACTCACACACCTCGGGCACATTTACCTTGTGCCTCCGCTGTGACGGATTTCTCTTCACACAGGTCGGGTTTTCTCAATTCACGTGTTTCATGCATATTTTATCTTATGCCTCCATTATGATTAATTTCTCTTTATATGAGTTAGATTTTCCTAACTCATACGTCTCAGATATATTTTATCTTGTGCCTTCACTGTGACGGATTTTACTTTACGCAAGTCTAGTTTTTCCAACTTACGTCTCAAGTACATTTGGTCCTGTGCCTCAATCATGATAGATTTCTCTTCATATGGGTCAGGTTTTCCTGACTTACATGTCTCGGGCACATTTAGCATTGCGCTTTTGTCTTAGTGGATTTCAATAATTTTTTAGTGTTTCATCAAACGCATTTTGAATCCTTCATCCAGTGCTTTTCAAATCCTTTATCCAATATTTTTTTTGTTCTTAATTCGTTGGCATTCCTTTGAAAGTGTCTCGAAAGGACACTTGTCTCAATTATAAAAGGTGAGAGCCTAGTTCCCCCCTATAAATCCCTCCTCACCTCATGGGTGAGGTTTATTCCTCGATTTGAGCATCCAGAGCCTTATTAGAAATCTTCTATGTTTTATCATGATTCTCTGCAAGATGAGTTGGTCCTCCAGTCTCTCATACTCTCGATGACGGCTCAACAACAGATCGATCTTTTACCATTATGCTCTTTCGTCTCCTTAGGTCAAGGTGTCTCTCATTTTACATATAAGTTCCTCTCGATCTACTGGTTGCTAGACAGTCGAGGTCCACGCTTCGTCTTTGGACAGCCCATGGGCGGAGGAAGTCTCAACCTCCCCTTCATCAAGGATGGCAATTCCCGTGAATCTGAAAGTTCTTTGGAACTTAGATACTATCAAAGGCTCGCATGATTATGATTTAGTGGTGAGTGCACCACTTTTGGATCACCTACGAGTTAAGTATTCCATCTTAACATAGTTCGACTTACAAATCCCTTGACCCGGTCAGTGTCAATTCGACCCTATGTCGGGGTCTCTTATTTTGTTATGCCCTCGAGGCAAGATTTCATCTTCCCTTCCACCGAGTGAGTGTCTTGCCTACATTGGTAGAATATATCACCATCTTAGATGGTGTTTAACTCGTTACATTATCTAATAGTGTTCATTGGAGAATCCTGGCATGCCGACATTACTCTGACCTACAAAATTTTTATGGCTTATTTTTTACTATGAAAGAAAAAAATGGCTACTACTTGGTTGCTCAAGGGGGCTTTAAAGTTAGTGGAGCCCCGTCTAACCACGAGGATTAGAATGAGTGCTTCTTCTTTATGGGTTTAGGTCGAGATTGGGGGTTTGATCTTGCCTGATCGACACACTATATAGATAACACCATATCTTATTATTGGACGAGGAGATGGGTCAAGTGCTTTGATTGAGGGATATACTTTCTTTCTCTGAGGCCATCTAAAAGATGGACAAAGATTAGCTAATCGATGTAGGTCTCAGCCTGTCTCCTTGAGTTACAAACCTTCCATCACTTTACCTCATCCTTTTTTTTTTTAATCCTCTATAGACATGAATCTACAGCCTTTAAAGAGAAAGGTGTCTGGCTCCTCTTTAGCCATGACGATGGCCTCTTTGGCTCTAGTCATTATCCATGAGTCATTACTCTAGGTGTTAGGCATGATTCGATTTTACCACCACACTAGCATCAATAAGCCAAGAAAGAAGTAGAAGGTTATCATGGGGAATATACCTCGCCCCCAAAGGGGTGGGGAACTTGGGGTGCCATTTCTCGAGAAGAAGCCCCTTACCTTCGCAACGTTAGTGCATTTAGTGGGTTCTCAAATTTCCAATCTTCTTTAGGGAAAAGTGGGGATAGGCCGAGGTTGATGTTCGACTTATGTAAGGGCAGGCCCTTGCCCTTCGCGGCTATATAAATAGACACACCCGACATAAGAAGCAAGTTAGGGAAATTAACCCGATGACTCTAAAGCAAAAGACCAATGTGATGAAAGACCTAAGGGGTGCCGGTGGCGGTTGAGTTGCTGATCGTGGTTGAAGTGGTGGCATCATTTATTGGGTTAGTTGGTGCTAGAGTAGAGCAACAATTTACATCATGCCCATTAGAATTTACACCAACTCGGTGTGGTTTAGGAACACTTAAGTGGGGATGAGCAGGTGACTCAGGGTTGCCCATGGGTCATTGAGCGGATGTTGGTATTGCGTCAGTGTTTATGCCGAGGTGGATGCATCCACGTGCAAAAAAGAGAGGATGCTAGCCCCCTGAGGGAAAGTGTTATGGGTCGGGGTCAAGGCTCGCTTGGGCATTCGTTAAGAGAGTTGGTAGGTAAATGTTCTTATGACATTGAGCCCTCCTTCTAGTGTCAAAATATTAGGAAAAAATATCGTTGATATCTTGATTAGCCTGAGGTGGTTCGAACCCATATACATATATTTGTCCGAGGTAAAAATAATCAGCTCCTAAATTGTTATTTGCATCAAGACTAAGGTCGAGAGAGGTCTCCCAACTCAATCTCTCCAATATTCAAGTTAGTAACTCAACGAATGATAATATAAATAGTTTTTTTTTTAATGTTAAAGGCCGAGAAGAAGAAAACTTATGATTATCTTCTTATAAGTGATAAAAAAAATTTATAATTATCTTTCTCATCGTAATAAATGAGAAGAACAAAACATATAATTATCTTTGTGATTTGTGATTACATGCAAAACATAGAAAGTGTAGTATTTGACTAGTTGCAGGTAGCTCTCGCCAGGACACGTTGAGAGGACACGTCGAGAGGAATCTCGTGCACCAAGCTTCTATTCATCATGTAAAGAGATCGGATTGACTCGATGCATCGATGGTGACCTCAACTCAAGTCAACACAAAACCGTAGGTGGCGAATTTTGAAGATGAAGTTTCCAGCCGCCGAAAGCACGCGCCGACCGAGAGCCACTCGTGAGAGCTCAGATTGGAGCAACATTTGACCCCTCCACCCTTCATCTCCTCAGTGGAGCACATCCTTCGACCGATCGGCTTGCCGACGTGTCAACCGACGGCCGGACGAAAACGATGGGATCCACGGCCAGCTAGGCTCCCTCATGATCCAGCAGAGTTGGGGACCTTCACGTTGGCCACTCACCGGTAGATACGTCGGCAAGCCCGCCACACAGTCAGCATATGCATGCAGAGAGGCGAAGAGCGTGGCCATCGCTATCCACGACCCGACACGCAACGTGCACCAGCGAGCCGCTTCTCGGGGATATACATATCATCTCCATAATTGCACCAGCCAGATTGGCCTGCATGCTTGCCGTCACTATCCTATCTCCTACCGACATGGATCGAACAGAAGACGGAGCGAGGCTGTACTGCTGGAAGCGAACATAAGGAATGATATCCTCCCGACTGCAGACGAACTGGAAGCCACCCAGAGGATGGCGAAAGGTGGGGGATGGCTCGGGAAAAGTGGATTCATATCCTGAGGAAAAGCAAAAGAACTTAATTTCTCGACGATAATTCTCGAGGCATTCGTTCGGGAAGACAGAGACATGACAAGAAACCAAGGGTGTGGAGCAGCTAAAGTAGAACGCAGAATCTGAAGATAATAGAGATTTGAAATGATGGATGGATAGAGAAGAGAGCAAGCGGTACGAGGTGCATCGTCGCTGCTTTGGAGAAGAAGATGGGGAAAATGATTGGGGAAGAATAATTGAGCACTTGGGGAAAGGAGGAACACGAGGCATGCACACACACCAAGAAAGCGGATTCTAAAAGAACACATATCCGATACAGTGTTGGGAGCAGTTCGAGGTCTATCATATCGAGCACTCGAGTAAAGCAGGAACATGAGGCCTTTGCTTCACACACCTCAAAAGGATGTTCCCTTTTTTTATGTTAGAATAGCGGTATTAAAACTTTAGTTGACTTTTTGTATCCTTTAAAGACACGAGAGTCAACATAGAATAACTCAATGAGAAGGATACTAACGAGAGTTGACTTTTTGCGTGAATGATAATATAAGCTTACACCACTATAATAACTTAAAATAAAAAAAAATCACAATAAAATTTTTTGATAATAGAATAACTCAATACTCGGTTTTAAAAATCAATCAATACAAAATTTACTTTTAATGACATTAATAATTGAAAATTTAGTTTATGATTAAGATTGATTTATGATTTAAATAATTACTGAGTTTGTTTATGAAAGTCGATTCTTGACTTAATTTTTGTTTAAAAAACTGTAGTTTATAATAAAATTACGATACGCTGTAGAAATAAGGGTGTCGTGATAAGATTGTTCATTATGATTTAGGCATTCGTGTTCAAGCTACGAAAATAATCCTTTTGTTCATTGACTAAATTAGGTTTACGAATATATTTGATATCATTCATTGTATTTATAAGCTTATTGTTTTGTTATTTTGTATCTAGCTAGAAAATCAATCTATTTCTTTAAGTTCTTTATGCATTTTTATTTACCTCTCTGATTGATCTGATGCGTCGCGTCGAAGAATCGTCATAGTGAATTAACACTCGATCAAATAGCTTGTATCAAATTGGATGAATGGGTTGTATTTAGCTGATAGTGACTTGATTTAATCTGACTATAAGACCTGCAAATGACACAATGAACATTCAACCCAAATATGAAACGTTTATTAGATTTAGCTTTCATTAATTATTTTATTTAGCTCGGTTCGATCGATATTCGATATCAAACCCATTTAATATGTTTAGTTTGACTATTAATGATCTGATTTGGCTCGGTTAGATCAATTTTGTATGTCAAACCCAAGACTAACATAGATGGTGTTTCCCAGGTCAAATTCAGAGACAATTAGGTCGGAGTTTGTGTATATTTGATCGACCAAAAATACTTTCGTATTAAGAAAAATCGAGTGAAGGTATCAGCTAGTTTAGCTAGTACAGACTTTGAGACTATGTTTTTTATAAGACTATGTTGCGCTTGAATCTTGCCTTCGTCGCTTATCTTTTACAAAAAGAAATAAAATTAAAATTAATTAATTGAGAAATTTTAGGATAAATTATATATCCACTTAAATGGTTTTTTATAATAAATTTTATTATTTCTTTTGGCTTACCTTAATAAATCATTCTTTAACACACAAAAACAGGATCTAAGTTTGTAATAGAATAATTGATTGAGTTAATTCAATATAATTTTTTAAAACAAAAATAAGATTTTATTATATTAAATGACATATATGACATTTATATGTAGACTAGAATGTCCTCAATAGAGACAATGCAACTTAAGTATCATATCCTTTGTTTCTGACAAGCATTTTATGCTGCCCATCTCCAACTTGTGATATTTTTTTCTATGTTGATGAGGTAATTTTCGATTGTTCGATATGTGATCCAATATGATCCTTTTGTCCATATTAGAGTTAATATAGAGCTGAAGCAGTTCTATATTAGAGTTAAGCAACATCTCTTAATTGGAAGAACAAAAAAGGTGTTGGGAATGAGCCCAGGAAGGTCTTGCTGATCAAAATGGAGAATAATGAGTTCAGTAATGGTGGTTGATCTTTGTTAGATTGTGTTGTTTTTAACCAAACCAATCAGCAATTCCCCAACTAAATGGCTACAAATATCAATTTCTGGATAGAACAGATCAGTATTCTACTATATTATGGCTGTCCATGAAACTATTGATCACCACGAGAAAGAAGAACTGTGTAGAACTTTCTAAAGCTTTCATAGTATAGTTCTGCTGCTCCAAGACTTTGAACATAATCCCATGAACATTGGATCCATGGAGAATCAGTACAGGCAATTTACACTTCTAGCAAAATCCAAGTTGAGAGTACTCATCAAAGGGACACTGTCATATTACCTTAGCTGGCGTTACTGAGAGATACAACACGAAAGCTAGCATCTAATTCATCTAAACATCTTGGATCTGCTGCCTCGAACAAAGATTTGATGTTGCTGAAGGATCCCGTAAAGAAGTTTGAAATGACAGAAAGATTTCAGGTAGTGGACTTCCTGGGAGGCGTACAAAAGTCATGGCATCCACTACTCACCTGTCAAGTCAAAATGCAATTCATGATGAGAGAGATTTGATTTGCTCACACTGTATCCAAACATTAATCCTGTGTTCGTGGTGTAGCGATGGAGATGGAATGGTCGGGAAAGAGGGAATAAACTACACATTTTGATATATGCAAATTAATGCTTCTCAGAAAAATCAAAGTGTTTATAACCATACAATCTCCTCTAATAATTCCTTATAACTCAGGGAATGGATTGCAAAGTTGAAACCAAAGAAGAAAAGTAGAGTGCCATAGCCTCTTCCACTAACTGCATGCTCCAACTTGAAAGGCTAATGCCATAGAATAGTCTCATTTTGAGAACATATGGGTTAAAGCTTTCGATGTGGCGATTATGAGCCATATGGATTTCGGGCTCAGGTTGTGATATTAACCTTTAGGCGTGTCGAAGAATACCAACCAAAGGACTAGTAATGATAATATCAAGAAGCATTTGAAAGACTGAATTTTTCTGCATCAGACTGAGTCTGAAGCCTTCACCGATCGACATCGTTTGGACTTGAAGTGGCATCTTTGATGCATTGCTACTTGTCGGCAGGCATCGATGTAATTGATCAGTGCACTGAATCTGCTATGCGGAGTAAGCATCTGAGGAAAGCAAGAGTCGCTGCTACTTTTCTGTAAGATGCATGTTATTCTCAAGCCACTTCCATGCTGCTCAAACAAACATTTCAATGAGGTGGTTTGGATGATCGCGGCACATGATCACCAAAGATTTCCAACTTTTATCCAAGTAGAAAGGCAAGTATTCACATCAGAAAGTGAGCATCACTTCTTCTGTCAGTGTTGATTCAGGAGGAAGGTAGAGATTAATAGAGGAGTTGGCAGTATCCAACCACCTTCATTCAAGAAACATCAAGCTCATAGCAGACAATGAAACAGTAGCTTCTCACCAGAACTTGAATGCACTTGCGCTTTTTGTTTGGTGCCAAACCGGCATGGGGAAACCCTACAAATGGTTGCAGTACTTCTAGGGTTAAAAGGCAAGGTGTGTAGGTTAATGCACTCAAAACCACAAAAGGGAATCGAAGGTGATAATATCTCGTGTCTGTGGAGGGTAAAGAACTACTACTACTCTTCATGGAATCAGAACATTATTTCCTAGAAACTAAATGCCAATGTCTGTCCAAATCATATGATCTCCTTTCCTCCGTGGAGAGCGTTGCTGACAAGCTATTACTGCATTCAGCACCTCAGACTCGGCCGAGCAATTCCTCCCATGAGATGAAGACGGTGCAGCCACTAGGAAGGCGATGAAAAGACATGGACAGTGAATTCCCTTCTCAGTATGGGTCAAAAACAAAGAGAAGCAACCAAAGAAGGTGGATTCTGGGGCGTGGGGCAGCCAGAGCACTTGAGGGAGGCAGCAGGCACCACGCTGTGGCTCACCTTCTCCACCCCCAAGGACACTTATATCCATCCACACAAAGATTGATGTCTACATGACCATGGAACAAGGCATGTTACGTGATTCCTTTTAGTTTTCTCGTGCCAACCTCATATTTGTCATGAATCATGTAATGTCCCAGTAACTTGGACTTCTATCCCATGTCAAACCATATAGTGGAGGTCCTTTGTGGTGTAGGGTTTAGCATCCGATCAACCCCGCTCGCCTATATATGGAGTTGCAACCCATAAGGTGCCCTCACATTTGTGAGCTGCGGCATCTGAGAGAGTCGTCCTCATCATCTCCCTGCCTCGTTCTACATATTCAATTCCTTCCTGTGCTACTAAGACTATACGAAGATCAGCATGGTGTGTTCTCAGCTCTCTCTCTCTCTCTCTCTCATATCTTCCTCCCTGGCTCTCATCTTAACCTTCTTCCCTCCATTTCTTGGATACATGTAGGACCGGAAGGCGAGCTGGTCTGTGGCAGATGCTGTGGACTACAAGGGACTGCCTGCTGACAGGTCCAAGACTGGTGGATGGGCACCTGCAGCTCTGATCCTGGGTCTGTCTTCCACTTCTTAACCCTAACTCTTAACCTCTTCAATCTTGTTCTGTGTTCCTTCACTTGCAAGACACTCATTCCGTCTTCTTTGATGACATCTTAAGAAGAACTATATATACGTTCTACAGACATCCACACATAAAGAGAAGACTTGTGACACACTAAGCTTTTAAAGGCTATAATAACATATAACACTTTTAAAGCTGGTATCTGTGACAACATTTGAACAGTGTCCCTTTCTTGAGGATACTATTCATGCACTGCACACGTACTTCAAGAAAGACAATGTCATAGTTTGGTCAACGTTCCCTTGAACAGTAGCTTTTTCGGTCAAACACCACTCAGGAAAACTCTTCTTTTGGGATAACATTGAGTGAGTGAATGATACTGAAATTTCCTTAATGCTTCTTTTGGTCACAGTCATCGAAATATGCGAGAGGCTTTCCACCATGGGGATTGCAGTCAACCTGGTGACGTATTTGGGAGGCACGATGCATATTCCGAGTGCAGAGTCGGCAAACATCGTCACGGACTTCATGGGCACATCTTTCTTGCTCTGCTTGTTCGGAGGTTTCCTCGCTGATTCCTTCTTGGGACGATACCTCACTATTGCCATCTTTGCTATGATCCAAGCACTAGTAAGTCTGCAATCCAAAGTGTTTCATAAAATTCTTTGAGTTCCTATTCGAAATCACCAGATCATAATCGGCGTCACATGTGTTTTGATGTTGATGTAGGGAACAGGCCTACTGTCCATCTCCACGAAGCTGCCCCAGCTTCGACCGCCGCCATGCAATTCTACTGTCACCGGGCAATGCCAGCGAGCTAATGGCTTCCAGATGGGCGCCCTGTACTTGAGCCTCTACCTCATCGCGGTGGGCACCGGCGGCCTCAAGTCAAGCGTATCGGGCTTCGGTACCGACCAGTTCGACGAGAAGGACGAGAAGGAGAGAAGTCAGATGGCCTACTTCTTCAACAGGTTCTTCTTCTTCATCAGCACCGGCACTCTGTTCGCCTGCACTGTCCTCGTCTACATTCAGGACGAGGTGGGTCGAAGCTGGGCCTACGGCATCTGCTGCATCTCCATGGTTCTCGCCCTTCTGGTGTTCCTGTCCGGGACCAGAAGATACCGGTACAAGAAGAGCTCAGGGAGCCCAATAGTGCACATCCTCCAAGTGATCGTAGCTGCAATCAGGAAGAGGAAGCTTATGCTTCCTTCCTCTGTTGTCTTCTTGTATGATGACTGTCCTGAGGCCTCCAGAATCCAACATACTGACCAATTCCGGTGACGAACAATTCCTCCTCGATCTATATACTGTTCCATTTGAAGGTGACTGACATTGTTACGTATGATGGATTCCATTTACAGTTTCCTGGACAAGGCTGCGATCGTTGCTGAAGAAGATCACGAAGTTAAGGGCGAGACTAAACAGCCGAACCCCTGGAAGATGTGCTCCGTGACGAGAATTGAGGAGGTGAAGATGATGATTCGGCTGCTTCCCATCTGGGCCACGACCTTCATGTTCTGGACCATCTACGCTCAGATGATCACCTTCTCCGTGGAGCAAGCGACGACGATGGAGAGATCCATAGGTAGCTTCCAAATCCCGGCAGGATCACTGACGGCCTTCTTCGTGGCGGCGATTCTCATCACCTGCGCCGTCTACGACCGCGTCATCATGCCTCTGATGAAGAAGTGGAAAGGCAAACAAGGTACTCACTCCTTTGCTCGATACATGACGTCGGTATGCACCTTCCTGATTCCTTATGCAGCAGTGCATGCTTTGCTTCCTCCATGTAGGTTTCACCAGCCTGCAAAGAATCGGAATTGGCCTGAGCTTCTCGATCATGGGGATGGCCGCTGCAGCACTGACGGAAGTGAAACGGCTCTCGGTGGCCCGGGAAGCCGCCAGCGGCACCACCACGCTGCCCATCAGTGTTTTCACGTTGATACCGCAGTTCCTGTTCGTGGGTGCCGGAGAAGCATTCATATACACCGGGCAGCTCGATTTCTTCATCACCCGGTCGCCGAAGGGGATGAAGACGATGAGCACCGGGCTCTTCCTAACGACGCTATCCCTCGGCTTCTTCCTGAGCAGCTTCTTGGTGTCGTTCGTGAAGGGTGTGACCGGCGGCAAGGGTGGACAGGGGTGGCTTGCCGACAACATCAACTACGGGAGGTTGGATTGCTTCTATGGGCTGCTTGCGGGACTGAGCACCATGAACTTGGGAGCTTTTCTTGTTTGTGCTGGTTGGAGCAAGCCACGGGTAGAGAGCCCTGAGAAGGATTCATGCGGAGAAGACAAGTGCTGAGGGCGTGCTGAAGCAGAGCATAGTCGATAGGGGTAGCTGCTAAGCTTCTCGCGGTGATGTCTTCTTGTGTAGTGGTAGATGCTTGCTTTATGCTTGTACTTTTGCATGTTATTCTTCTTCAGCTTGCGGATTTAAATGTTTGTCTCGATTTCATGTGCTTAAATACATATGGCTTGCAAAATATTTTTGGATTCATTACCCTTATCAATCTCAGATCCACCAGCTGATGTATTATGGCAACAAGGACTCGGTTTTCCACAAGCACTAAATTGTGCCTCTGCGTATGACTTTCCAACATTCCACGTTGAAATGTCTTCGACATTTAATAATAATAATAATAATAATAATAATAATAATAATAATAATAATAATAATAATCCACTTTCTCTGCTAGTCAAGATTCCATGTATTTAAGATCCAATAAGGCCCAGAAGCCCACTTACGAGTCTCTTCCAGCGTGCGTCCACTGCTTTCCTGGTGTCCGTCGCAGTTGCGTCTCGAGGGGTCTCGAGAAGAGGAGCTGCTTCCGTTTCTCTTCTTCCGGAGTAATCTTTTGGAACTTCTAATTGCTCTTCTATAGCCGGTGGTGGAGCCACGAACATGGCGGGGAACCCCTTAGAGCCCTTCTTCCAAGCATGCGAATCCATCTCCCACTGCGTTCAAACCCACCTCTCCCGCCTTTTCCTCCCGCCGCAAGCCGACTCCCGCCACCCCCACTCGCTCTCCAAGGAGACAAGCCTACCTCTCTTCTCCGTCTTCTCCAAGCCTCCCTCCACGACGGACGATGGAAGCGCGCCTTTTCGACATAAAAAGGAGGTTTTTGGCAGAGGTCCCAGCTCTCGTCGTTCCGTTCTGAGTTTGGGGATAGTTTTGCCGAGGGTTTTTTTTTGCATATCTTGCAGGCCAAAGCTGCGGGGCCTTTGACCAAGGAGGAGCTCGGGAGGGCGACTTGGACTCTGCTGCACGCCATCGCTGCCCAGGTGTTTGATCAATTGCCTCTTTTAGTGCTTACTTCTGCTCTAAGGTTTACTTATTGTCTGCTACACAGAATGGGCCGTTCATGTTGATTAGAAGTTGTAATTGATTAGGGAAACTGTAGGCACTTGCACATGACTATTATTAGTCTCGTTTGGACATACTGTTGAATTGCATGGTCCTTCTGGGAAGTCACACATGATTTCCAAATGATGGTGATGTCATTTTGCAAGTTGGATGTCTGCTTTAGTTTGAATTGTCCATTGAATAAGAACCATAATTTTCATCTATTTTCTTTCTTTCTTTCTTTTTTTTTTGGGTTAGACATTGCCCGTTCAATATGTGACTATGTGCCCCATTTGTCACATGAAATATCTTTCAAAATTTGGAGTGCTTTATTGATTATATACTCTTGATCTTTTCAGTACCCAGATCAACCAACAAGGCAGCAGAAGCATGATGTAAAGGAATTGGTATGATCAAAGACATTCTTGCTTCTTCACCTTTTTACTTTATGCAAAATATTTAGAAGTGTATACTTTTTTTAAAATAATCATTCACCAATGTATTTATACTCGCTAGGAGATTTAGGAGGCAAAACTAGCAAGTGCATGCTACTATTCTTTCTGAGGATTTCCGTATCATGTATGCAATGCTTCGATATCTTTTGTTATTTTGGCCTACGCTTGATTTTAAATCTTAAGAGTTCAAATGTTGCTGCATCTGGAAAAGCTGATCCTTTGTTATTTGTGTGATCAATTTTAGTCACATAAACAACTTCTTTGCTTATAGAGAAGATTGCATATATTGACCAACTTCATGTTGGTGACAGCCTTGTGCTGGAATTTTTTTGATTCTCAGAAAAAACACTGTATACCATTGAGGGCATATTACACGTTAAATCATGCTTGAACTTTGAAGGATATGATTTGATGATTTCTAAGTGTATCAGGTAGTAGAACTAGTTTACTGTTTGATGTTTATCTAGAATGTCTTTTTATTTACCACTTCTATTAATCCTTATGTCATTCTTCCAAAGGCTAGATGTACTCATTAATTTTGATTCCTTTTGTTTTCTTATGTAGATGGCTATCTTATCTCGACTTTATCCTTGTAAAGAATGTGCAGACCATATTAAGGAAGTACTGAAGTAAGTTAACATCTTTACAGCTTTGCATTCATTATGTTAAGAATTGGCAATTAAACGAATATAACTAGGATTGGCAAACTTACACTGTGATCAAGATATTGACACATCCTCTATCATTGAAGTTATTTAATGAATATTCTTAATGCAGAAAACACAAGATATGTGGTCCAATTGTTGATGAAGAAATTGATGGTTATGTAGTTCGATGATTTTTCAATATATGATTTCATTTCAGGGCGAATCCTATACAAGCAGGTTCACAAGATGAGTTTTCTCAGTGGCTATGTCATATACATAATGTTGTAAACCGCAGGTGCTTGACAAATTATATTGATATTTGACTTTATATCCTTGCTTTTTTATCTGTGTTTTCACATCATTATTATTTTTGGATTACCTTAAAAGATTACCAGATTTGTCAGTCTGATATTTCCAAACTCTTTCAACAGCCTGGGAAAATTGATTTTTCCTTGTAATAGAGTAAATGCAAGATGGGGTAAATTGGACTGCATCGATCATAATTGTGATCTTCAGGGAAGTTCGGACTTGACCAACCAACAAAGATGACTTTGGATTTTTTTCACAGTAGAAATGCATATGGTAAATCTCCATTCAATTTAATTATTTTGGGCATTACAAAAAAGAAGTCAGCAATTATGCATTTTCTTGCTAACCATTTGCAGCCATATGATGCATGGTAGATAAGAAAAATTTTATGAAGTGTATCTATTGCCATATGGTCTTCATGGTTGATGTATCATTTTAACATTTTTTAACTTAATTAGTTGAGAAACTATACATTAATAGAATCCTTTTGAAGCCTTGATGAACATTGTTGATGGTAGAACCAGAGTCTTTGTTCTTGTTCTATAACGAGTTTATTTTTACTGATTATTTGTAATTCTTCAAATTATATGCTCTCTTTTCTTTTTGTTTTGAAAATCAGGATTGTAATCAACCATTTGAATGTGGCCAAAATTGGTTTTAGTTTGGATCAGCTTTACAGTTGGTCCATTTAATCAATTCCTGTTTCTTGGGATACATCTAGGATCAAATTGGAGACCAAAACCTTAAGAAGCAACACTTAAATGATAGTTTTCAATTAGCTAATGTTATTCTTTTATTCTTAGCATACACAACATGATGTTCGACAGGTAAAGAAGATTGAACATAAGTAGACCAAGTGATCAACTTAGGTTGATCACAAGCATATATTGTGGGTCCATTCGTGCTCATCTTACTCCACATAAGATTCATGATAGGACTTTGTTTCTGCAGGTGCCTCTCACAGTTCGCTTCTTGTATGGTGGCAGAAGCTTGGTTGGTCGGAGAAGGGCTCAACTAGATTGTGGATCAACTTATTATTATTATAATTGTAATTGAATCTAATTCTGCTATCATTTGTTGCTATGTTGAGCAGGGTATGTATACCGCGACTTGAGCTCTTTAGAAACATTGCTTTGGGCCACTGGGAGTGTGTTTTTTCTCTTTCTTTTTCAAGGAAAATAAATTTTATTTCTTCAAAGGGCGTTTGTTTAAACTTGTGAGAAGTCTGTTTCATCAAACTAATATTCCAGACTAATTAGCTGATGCCATTAGAAGTAGGGAATGCGTTATTCGTGTGTACATGGATTATAATCTTCGTTCAAGTAATTAGTTGATTGCTTAGCTCATTGTTGACCATACTAATCACCTGATGTGTCCTAATTAATAATATTAGAAAAAGTCTTATGTTCCACCCATAGTTCATGATATGAAGTCACGATGACGCAACTAAGTGTGATGTGATACATTCGTCCTTTGTATTACGAAGGTAACAAAACCCATGAACCGGAAAGAGTTTGGGGCGGCCCGGGTCGGTTTAATTCGAACCTTTTAGTCAAGCTCGGTTTAAGCAGGCTTGCAATCTGGGCCGGTCCAATTCTAACTTTAAAACGTCCTCGCGGTGCAACAGAACCAAACCCCTGGAATAGAATCCCTAACGAGATCTTGCCTCCGCCGCTTGCCGCCGACGGATCCGGCTCGACGTCGATGTCGGCCACCGAGCAGCCGCCCAAGAAGCGAAAGCTCTACGAGGCGATTTCGGACCCACCGATCGCCCCGCCCCATCATCAGGCCTTAGTCTCGGGCGCCCCTCCCCCTCCCCCGTCGCAGGAGGAGATCATCCGGAAGCGGAGGAACAAGGATGAGATCCGAAGTCTCGTGGAGTGCTATCGGAGAATCAAGTTTTGCGCCTCCCAGAAGGACGCCGGCCTCATGTCCGAGCTTGAGCAGGCTTATTTGTCTCTAATTACCGCTTCCAGAGGTCAGATCTCTGCCATTTGTTATTTGTTCTTCTTTTTTCTTTGTATCTAAGAATTTGCGATGAAAACGACCAATTCGTTACTACACTAAGCTTTTACTGTTAGAAATTGTATGTTTGAGTCCCTTAATTTGCTAATGGATTAATATCTTTCTTAGACAATACAGGAAAGTCCTATAAATGTCATCTTAACCAGAGGGCATATACAATCTCAAGCGGACAAGTGAAACATGAGTTGTGTTGATGTCTCTCTGGGTGGGTCCATATTAATCATGTATACTCACATTGCATTGTTCTTTGAGCTATTGCTCAAGAATATTCACAAGTAATGAATATTTCTCCTTGAGTGGATAAACGACAGGGGACACTAAAAAATGGTTGTCCTTTTTCTTTTTTTTGACATCAAAACTGGAACTGTTTGTAGTATGCCAGTTGTTTTAAAATAGTTCCGTTATTCCAGTCCATATCAGTCATTCTTAATTTGGCTGAATATTACTTCATTGAACCCAATGTGTGTGATTAATCTAGATTGCAGATTTACTTGAGATTCAGAGGGGGGGCATTGGCATTCCCTTTAATTTGTTCTAGAGGAGGGGGTTTGGTGTTGTTGGCTATGATGACCATCTCAAGGATAAAATAGTTTGTTTCATTATTTTCTTTATTTTGTGGACGAGTTAGTACTATTATGAAACTTTGGTTTTATTATGCTCTGGTCAAATCATGCTCTAATCTGAGTCACTTAGGATCCTAGGTTCTGGATTTTTAACTCAATCACAGTTCTTGTTTTTAAAATCTTGGCGCCAGTGCAAAGTAGTTGAGGACCTATTAAGGGTAGCTGGCGATGCACCCAGATAAGTGTAGTTGAGTAGAAAAATTAGGAAGCATGGTTTGAGGTAGTTGTTCACCAACAGGAAGCTCAGGGCTACAGTATAAAGCTAAGGGTGGATAACCATGGTTGGAAAGGCATAGTAGCCATTATAAAAGATGTAAAATTGCACCAATAAAAGAAACTTATATTACTGTTAAGGTCCTGGAAACAGCATCAAATATGATAATGATTGTGTTGTTGTATTTTTTTTAAGAATTTCTGTAGATACAACTCATATTGACAACTGTTGGTGGATAAGGGGAGGCTAATGCAGTTTACTAGTTTCTATAGAAAAAAAGAACTGTCAGTGGATGGGCTATGGTGAACTGTCAGGAAAAGTTGCGCATTGCATATTTGGAATGCTAGGTCTAGAACTTTTTTCGTGACATACTCTATGAATTTCATGATCTGACACCAGCAATCTGTGTAGCAGTAGGCCCATCTAAATTCTGATTAGAGATTGAACTCTGAAGTGTAACTTAAATATTTAACATAGATCAATTAACACTCGTGTGTTTTCAACTGTTTAACTACAAGTTTCTTCTTTCTCTATCAAGTACAATTTTTTGCTTAGTATTACATAATCTATTGTAAGAACTAAGAAGTATGAAACACTTTCCTTATCCTTACCAAATCATTAAAATAATTTTCAGCTGAAGAACTTTGTGTGTTCTTATTTTCTGTATAGGTTGCTCGAGCGTACAGCGTATTGTAGCTGAGCTTATTCCTCGGTATGCATCATTCTGTCCTACTGCTCTAGAGGCAGCAGCTAGAGTTTCTATCAACATGTATAATTGGAGCTTGGCCATAATCGTGAAAGGAGAGGATGTTGATGGTGTGGCATATGAAACTGTTAAAGCCTGTATTTTTGGTCTAGTTGACATTTGTTGCACAGCATCACATGAAGCACCAACATCTTCTGTCATTCAGGGCATCTGTTCTGCAGTTTTTTCAAATATTCTTACGTTTTTTGTTTCAACTTTTGAGGGTAAGGATATTTATCAGATAGGTAGCAGAGAAGTTCTAAAGCTTCAAGACCCAATGGATTTCCTTCATGAACTGAAGCATGATACGAAGTATGACAGCGAAACTGTGTTACATAGGTTATTTTTGCTTCGGGCACTTAGTTTCCTTTGCATATTTTTTGCCTTCCCAAAGAACTTACTTGCAGCCTGTTTTGAGCTCTTTGTTTCTGGCGGAACTGATGTTGCTCTACATAGAGAGGGGCAGTACTTTCTAAATCAGATGACAAGTCATCTGAGTGATGATGAAAATGACATAAGTCATGTGACAGACAAGGTGACTGATGAACCTTCACTATGTCCAAATCTGACAAAACCAAGTATAGATTCCGATGGAAACGATCAAACTGAGTCCGTAGCGCATTCAAGGAAAACTTTGCTACAATCTAAAAATTGTTTATTGGGGATGGTAATGAGCTCACTATCTTTTAAGATGTAGTCTTTTATTGATTGTTGAATTTATCCAAACAATTTTTCTTGTGGTTATTTTATTGGTTACTATTTTTTGGATTCTAGAATCAGATAATGTAATAGATTGAAAATCAACCACTAATATTTTGTGCACATAGCTTGAGGAAGCAGGATTCTTTCAATCATCAGTGTCCTGAAAATTAATGTGGATTATGGAAAATAGTTGCATGTTGCTATGATTTGTTAAACTGCATTTGATATTGAAACAGTTGAAAATACAATGGGTGTATTTCATAATTTATGTACTTGTAGATTGAAATTAACTTCTGGCCTCATCAGGTATTGTTTCGATGTGTTTTCAAAGGTGTAAGTCTCATCTGGATCTTGGGTGAGAAGTTGGGTGAATTTGTGATGCTTATGAGTTTATTCTTCCAACTTCATAACCATTTAGATTTGAAGGAAAGAAATATGAGTACAGATAGGGTACACTTCAGGTTCTGATATGTAAAGCTGTGAGTTTTTGCTATATATATAAATTTGAATAAATACTCTTAAAGTACTTAATTTCATTTTCGTAAGAACTCAAGAAGAAGAAATTTTTCGTTGTGAATAAAATTTTCCAGAGTGCATAGTTGTCCATATGAATGCTATATCTACAGGATATATCAAATGTTCTCAATGTTTGTCATGAATTTGTCATGTTGTTGGTCAAAAGTTTAGGTTTTTTTATTCTTATATCATAATCTAGTACACCATCATTATAAAATCCCAGCATAAACTGATTTTGGCTACACTCTGCAGGCAATTAAGAATGATCCATCCATGAGAGTTTGGATATCTTCTTATTGTAGTAAATTATCCAAGTTGCATGGCCTACAGGCGACTACCGAATCATTATCCATGTTGGAGAACTTATTTGGGTCTTTGTCAAAGTTGGTTGATGGAACAGATTTTGAAGGGAGTGGTGGGAACAAATTTGATGCATCAAATCATGATGATGTCAGCAACCCATACTTGGTTTACAAGAACCCTCTCCAGAATGAAGACATTGGTGGTGTTTCAAAGGACTCGGGAATTCCTGATGCATCTCCGGCTGATGCGTGCAAAAGAGATGATGGTTTTGCAGAAAAAGCTATGGGTGAAAGGGAAGGAAATTCCATTCATGGTGGGGAAAGGTTGGCCACCACAAGGAAGTTACACTCTGGGAATCGGAAGGAGTCAGATACAATAAATTACCAGAGCTTTAATGCTGATCTTGGCATGCCATCTTTTGTATCTATGTCTGGAGGTGCAGCTAAAACTTTTTCATCCCCTAATGAACATTCTCCTGCACAAAGCAGTGCTTCCACTCAATTTCTTTGGTACTCTGATGGGGATCCTAGAGCCATGGATGTGACCTCCGCTTCCAAGCAATTGTGGGTGAGTTCTCTTGGGCATGATGCCACTGAAACGGCAGTTAGATTGCAGTTTGAGGATTTTGGTGCCTTGCAATGTTTTTTGTTTGTTCCTGCCAAAGATTTTGCTTTAGTTGAGTACCGAAATATTCTGGATGCTGTGAAGGCACGTAAATGTATGCAGGGCTCCTCTATATGGGGTGGTTGCCTTCATATTAAGTTTCTTGATAGAGGAGTGGGTAGCAGAGCAGCTTTTAATGGTATAGCTGTTGGTGATAGCTCTTTTGTTTATGTTGGTAATGTGTCAACCCAGCGGTTGAAAGATGAGATACTGCACGAGTTATTGAAAGCAGGCTTGAGGAATCCCCCTCTAGTTACTAGTCTTACAAGTGAAAATGCCTTGCTGCTGGAATTCAGCTCTGCAGAAGAAGCAGCCTCTGCAATTGGGCACATCAGGTATTTTCGTGAAGCTAGTGGATGTCAAGCATATGAAAATAGAAAATGGACACATGGTGCATACATTAAGGATAAGTCTGTTTCTGGATGTCAGCTTCTAGTAAAGCAAGTTGATGCTTCTGTCCCCGACATGGAGTTGATCAATGCATTTTCTAGATTTGGAGAGATTACTGGATGGCAATTTGATAGACTAAATGGTTGCTGCTATATAGATTTCCAGTCACATGAAGCTGCCAACCTTGCAAAATCCCATTTGCGTGGTGCAAGGTTTGGGTCTACTACTGTTGAAGTTGAAATTAGGAGTGGAAACACTGGAAGTGCCCCAAACAATGTGCTTTTTTCACCAAGGGCTCCAAGTTTCCATGATGTGTCTGCTGACCACTGGAAGGCTCGAATGTCTCAGTTATCTTCTTTATTTTCATCTCTGCGTGTCAAATACAATCTTAATCAGAATCTTTCTTATGAAAGCAATAAGCAGAAGAATTATTCACTTTCCACGAAAGATGAAGTACCGGTTAGCACTCTCTATATTACTCTGCCTGGTATTTCTTTTATGACAATCGAAGATGATGACTTAAGGGCCTTGTGCAATCTTGCTGTTGGGAATCTTGGTTCTGTGGTTAGATTGACACGAATAGGTTTGCAAAGTTCTTGCTGGCATGTTGAGTTTAGCAGTGTGGATGCTGCTGTGACTGCACTAGATATCATCCGGAGCTGTTCAGAAACGTTTCTTCAAGCTGAGTTCAGGTCTGAAACATTATCAATTTTGCTAAATATTCATAATTTCTATAATTCAAATATTTTATAATAATTATTGTAATTATTATTATATTTGCTGTTGCCAATCAGTTACCATGAGTGAATGCTGTGTCAATATCTTGCTTTTGAAACAAATATCTGCTGCACATATTTGTATTTGGTAGATGCATGTGCGCTTCTTGGTCGGCTTAATATCAAGCTACACATCTGGATTTCATTATACGATTATGCTAAAACTAACATAATTGTTTAAATTAAATTGGGTGTGTGGTGGATAAATGCAATTAATTCAAGTCAATTAGCTGGTATTCCTAAGACATTTATTTGAGGAAATAAAAAATTAGAATTATTGAAGTGATATAAGTCAATTAGCTGGAATTCTATTTCTTTTAGAAAAGACCCAATAGAATTTGTGTACACTAGAAAGATTTGATTTTATGTTTCATAGTTGAAAGGGATAACTCCAATTTTATTGGTGTGTGTGTGTGTGTCAACACTTGGCATTATATCAATACATCTTGATCTGCACCAAGGTTTGTAATACTGCCTGATACGGTTCATTATGGGTGGTATTAATTGGTCTGACAGCCTAACCCAATGGTATGTCCAGTACAGTGTGGTACAGGCCTTGTACCTGTAGTCCCTTTCTGCTTTTCAGTCTTCTTTTCTAGTTTATCCTGAATTTTGATACGTACTGTCATATCAACACTTGGGACACCAGTAAAGGCTGGTATGGTTCTGGTTTGAGCCTTAACCAGTATACTACCTGTACACAAAATTGTGAACCTTGATCAAGACCAACAAGTTAAAACTGAGTTGAAATTTGGTTAGGTTGAGTCAGATTAGATTCTTTTCTTATTTCTAAATGTTTGTGTATCTCTTGCTTTTAGTTGGATAAGTTTTTAGTGCCCAGTGTTGTATTCGAGTTATGCAATTGTCTGTTATTAATTCAAAAAGAATGGGCTTTCATGCTTGGTAAGGATTCTCCTTTATTACCTCGGTAATCAAGGTTTGACCTGTTAGTTTGATTGAAAAAAGAAACAAGCTGAGATTCGTATCATATAATATCTAGAGTTCTTAGTTTTATTTTTGGGGGTGTGTGTGTGTGATTAGTCCTCCAAAATGAGATTGCATGATGAATTAGCGACCGAAGATGTTCTTTCTTAGCTGAAAGATTTTTTATATATTTTTCTCCAGCATTGCTTTCTTCCTGTTTCATTTCATGTTTTCTTCAAGATCACTGTTATGACTTCTGTATTCATCCTAGAAAATCTCTCTTTGTTGCATTTCATTGCTTGCATATAGCCTAAAAGTGACTTGAAAGCATGTCAAGTGATACACTGGCCAGTACCATCTGATGTCACTGGAAAAAATAATGAAAATTTGAATACCAAGTGATACTGACCTATATAGTCTTGTACCAGTTATTGGTCAAACCGGTAAAGTTGGTTGGTACTCATCTTAATTTCTAGGCTACCCTGCAAAACTGTTGGGTGTTGGTACCAGCCATCTGCACAGACTAGTACACCTGTGTGTTTGTATATAAGAGGTATAGTGGAGACTGTTCATGTGTGTGTGTGTGAGGCAATTGGATTGTTCTTGTGGCGTCCTCCCCAAGCAATATCAGTGAATGTGCATGGATATTAACCTCCTCACATTACTACTAGCCACCTTCACCTGTGTGCTGAAGTCATGTTATTTGTAAGAGAGAGAGAGAGAGAGAGAGAGAGAGAGAGAGAGAGAGAGAGAGAGAGAGAGAGCAATTGGATCATTTTGTGGTTTTTTCCCAAGCAATATCAGCGAATATACTGGGATATTACCCTTCCCATAAATGTCTAGACTGATCAGTTTGATTTGGACTGATTTGGTCCAATATTTTATGACTCTTGTGGAGTTGACTAAACCTTCCCATTCTCTTTTAAGCCTTGGTTGGAAGGAATAGAAGATACAAACGAACATAAAAAAAAAGACTTGGTTGGAAGTAATAAAAGAATCAATTTGGTGATTGCTGGATTATCCTTCTTGACAGAGTTCCTTGGCAGAGAAGGATCCATATTACTACTTCAAAAGATATGCAAACAACTGCTCCATATCCTTATTCTAGTAGTTGTTCTAAGTTACTGTGGCATGGGTGTTTTGGCTGAAAGCCTGAACATGTATGATCTGTGCCATGTTGAATAGATTGTTGGCATGGGTGAAGGTGCCGCTGGAGTAGAAAACCAAATTAAAATCTTCTCATTCAGAAACTTTTGATTGGAAAACATAAGACATGCAATAATACACGTTTTAAATTACCTTTCTTTTATTTGGAGAATACACGCCACTCCAGCCTTCTTCTGTGAGGTGTTTTTGTCCTTCCTCCCACAAGTCTCCCTTGATGGGGAATGTTTCAAGTCTGTGCCTATCGATTGGTTGAATTCCTTCACACAGTGTTTCCCCATCTATGTAAATATTTAGCCTCTTCCCTAGGTGGCAAATGCACAGTAGAATTGAGATCCCTGTAATATCCTACCCACCTTTCAATGCATTTTAGGGTTATATCTGGGTTACTGAGAGATTTTATAGTTTTGGTTAACCAGAGCATACCCATTGTCACTCAAAAGTCTGGTCCACTTACTGTTTAAACCGTAGCTGCAGAAGTAGCCTGTTCTGATGGACTGAGATCTCCCTTTTAGGATCTTAGTAACTGGCTAACATGAGATGCTTCTTCTGTTAGGAGCAGGACATCTTGGCACTTGTAACTTTGCGTTGTGCATTCTTTGAACTTCTAGTTTTATCTTTTTTGGCCATTCCTCTTTGCTATGTTATGGTGCATGTGCTGTCTTAATTAGTTGTGTGGTCTTTTCTCCCATGAGATTTATAATACACTTTTTTATTTATGATTGTTGCTCTCATTACATTTTTCCTCTCAGCCTTTTGGCTTACATAGTTTTCAGACTAGAAAGATCTGATCTATAAAGTTAATGTTCATGATTATTGATTTACTAATCTCAAATGGTATTTTTGGTTTATATTCTGCATGTGGTAGGAGCCCTTTGGAGCTTTGTACTTTGTACTAAGTGATTTCCTTGCTGTTCTAAATTTTGGGAACATATTCATTTTAAAAATTTTAATGGATACTGCAGTGATCTTATTTTATACTGATCTGGTCTTTCACAGGAATAATAGAGCTGGTGTATATCATGAAGAATCAGTTACACCGAGGAAATTAAATACTTTGGGATATTCTCCATCTCCTGGGGAATTTCGCCCTGCTGGTTTGGATAGCAAACAAGGAAATCCTTATGTTAGATCTTTCACAAATAAACCTGATCTCAATGTTCATATACCGGTATCCCCAAGGGTAAATGTAGAAAATATAGGTTTTCAAGTGCAGCATGGACAAGCATTTCAATCAAACTGGACTGTTGCAAGCAGTGCTGACATGCGGGAAGTGCCCATGGATCTCTCATTTCCTGGTGAGTACTGTGTCAAGGTAGCTAGACATCCCAGACTATTTTCTATGGTGTTCTTACTTGTGTTCTATCTTTGGATTTTTCATCACAAGGTCCCGCCACCAATGCTGGTGAAAAAATCTGGCATTACATGAAGAAGGAGAATGAGCCACAGATGTTTGGGAAAGTAAGCTTACCAAGCCGGACCAGTGTCACACATGTGGGCTCTGTAATACCACCACCGGTGCCAACATCTTTGGTGCGTCCTGTCTATCTTACCCCAAGTAATTCCTGGGATAATTCTGGTCCAAGTCCTCTACTAAACCGAACTTCCACAGGCATGATGCTTATCGATAATCGCAATATTAATGCATGTGCTCCTGTTCCTTTTATACCCTCTTCTATTACTCCACTTTCACAGCTGCCTGGGGGTGCCATGCAGCGATTTGACCAAGTAGTTACAGTACCAGGTTTATCAAATGTAGTTCACCCACCTCCTCCCCCATCCGATGTGCCACCTCCATTGCCTCTCTCTCAGCCACCTTCTGTTCCACCTCCTCCAAGCTCTCCTCCTCCTCTGCAACAACCGAAGGATTCCAACTTGCAAGCAAGCATATCATGTCCTCACCATCAGTGGCAAGGCACTCTTTCAAAAAGTGGAGTTCACTACTGCACAATTTATGCAGTTAGAGAGGACTCGGTTGCTTGTAAATATTCAACCACGTTGTCAGAACCAGCAGAGTAAGATTGGATTTCTGCCTTTGCTTCCATTTTATAACATGGTTTATGTGAGGTTCTAATGAATGTCTTCTCGTGATATTTCAGCTGGCCTGCTAGATTAGATGTAACAAAACGCACAGACATTCAGCATGTTAAGTCAACTTTTTCTAACACTCCTCCTCATAAAGTGAGTTCTTAAAGCCCCTGGAAACAGCAGTTGCAGATTTTTATTATCATGCGTTATGTTTTGGATTTGTATGATGTTAGCTGCTGGTGATAATTTAGTTCTTTAGGAACTCACCAAATATTGAAGAAGGGAAAATTTTAAAATCACAACAGTAAGAGGTGCTTAGTACATATGCTTGCACAATCAATTTATTGTTCATAATTTTCTTGAGTGTTATAGCAATTTTTACATCTTGATTTATGGAGAGGCATGAATTTCTGTGTAAGATCTCCATACGAAGAGCCATATGCTACGATATACCAGCTTTATGAAAGTGTTGCTTAGTTCTGATTCTCTTGACATTAGAGTCTGTTACATTTTAATGGCTGAGGAAACTGTTTTACAGGGAGGGAGGGAGGGATAGAACATATTCATTCAATTGGTACATATTTTTCTAAATATTTGATCTTGGAATGTAAGTAGTGAATTCAACATATTGAAGTTTTTCAAACTTTTCCACCATTATAAGCTAAGTAGCAGAAGTGTTATATGTACATTTTTGTAAAATAGTGCTTTCCGGCTTAAAGAATGTTATAATATATAAATTTAAAGTAAAACATGTTTTGAGAAGCCCTTTTCTGTGTTTTACAAGTGAAAAGAATTCAGCTGAATTCTAGAATGTAGTATAAGATCTTTTATCAGGTAATGTCTGAATTTATTGCATTACCTTGTCTTATTTGGTGTCTATTATATGATATACTTACTGGCTTATGTATGTACCTACTAACCAATTTCCTTACATGACGGAAACAGTAGTCATTTAATAGATGACATAATTGTTGAAGCATAATTCTGTTACGGTCCAACGTATCCATAATTGTTGATTATGGACAATTTATTTTTCCACACACAGTGAAGCTGATGTGTCATTATATTCAGCATGCAGCAATCACCATAGCGAGCTAGATGATTATTGTAAAAGCTGAACCATGATTCATTTACTTATGTGGTGTGCCTTGTGGCATAATTTGTTAGCATTAGATAGTCTTCCTAAGGCTTTATGTTTGCATATCTATTTTGCTTCTTTATGTCGAACACTGATCTTTTTGTATGTATCTATTATGTTTAGATAGTTTCATTTTAATATGTTTAATATTTTCTTATTCTATATCACAGTTAGTATACTTGTGTTCTTTCTATGTAGCAGTTTATGTTAATTTGTTGGATTCTTCTCTTGCTGATGACTGGTTTAATACATGGTGTAGAGAGAGGTTTGTCGTTTGCTGCCGTCCACCACAAACGACCAAAGAGGAGTAAGTATTATCTTCACCATTTTTCTGCTTGTCATATCAGATATTAGAACATGTCTTTGGTACCTTAATCACTATATTTTGGTTACTTAATCTGTGTGCATTTTTCAAAGTCGTCTTAAGAATACCCAATTATTCATATGGATCTGTACAGGCTTTGACCATATACTATGTTGTGAACTATCACTATCCATATGGTTTCTGTACAGGATTTTGACCATGTACTACATTGTGAACTATCACTGCAGCATCTTCGAAGAGATCACCATTGCTTGGTGGGACACTATCCTACCAAACTAGTCTTGCCCCTGCTGTCTGTAATTATGCTAGCTTTTATCAGTAATAGCCACATTTATGTGGTTTTTTTATTGTCATAGTTTCCACCTTTGTCTTATGGTAGGTAATATCTTTCATTTGGACCTTGATTCTTCTTGGTAATTTTTCTTTTACAACTCTGGTTGCGTCCATTATCTTTCTAAAAGACTTGATGTCATGGTATAGACATATGCACTGGTCTGTTGCTGGACGTTATATCGCGTTTATCAAGGGGCAATATACATGTGTTATGGTGAGTGTTTGTCAATGTGTATGTATGTCCATGACCATCGTTGGGAGCTTCTTAATAAACCTATGTTTTCAATTTTACATCAATGGTAGGAGCCTTTAAGCTGTGTTTGTTTCCTGCCCTTTTTCAGCGGCATCTACTTTAAAAAGATAACGCTTGCTTACGAGTTCTTATTTCAATCCCTTGTTGCAGATCCAAGACTTCATATCATATCTGAAGCAAAGGGACTGTGCTGGAGTAATAAAGATTCCTGCGGGGAAGTCGATGGGCTCAAGGTTACTCTTCATTCTCCCCTACTCACTCGACACTTGTTCCTTGCTGGCCATTGCACCTCATCCAGCTGACTGTCTGATTGCTTTGATTCTGCCAAAAGAAATAAACACGGAACAATCATAATTTTGTATATTCTCTATTAGGGCATACCAAAAGTTGTGTCGTCTGTCTCTCTCAAGTACATGACACTTAAACGAGGCTTGAAATTTTGTACATGTTGCTCGATATAATCTACTTTTTCTTTCCATTCAATTACAAGTAGCAGCTTTTTTCAACACCCTTGATCTGAATTTTCATATTTCATAGTGAGATAATGAACTTTCTCTTCGCGAAATACTTGTTTTAACAAATGTTTTGCATCAAGATGACAAAGACACCCTAATTCTATTCGGTCGACACGTGTGTGGATATCTCCTTGCAGCTTAAATTCTGGTTGAAACATTTGGCTTCAGAAATTTTGTTCTTTGGAACGAAACGTGTTCTTTTCGCTAATATGGTCTTAAGTGCGTCACGTATTCATTCTATCATATCGCGGTTGAAAGCAGAAGTTTTATAAATGAATAGGAATAAAGTTATCAAAACGTTGAGATGGCCGAGTTGGTCTAAGGCGCCAGATTAAGGTTCTGGTCCGAAAGGGCGTGGGTTCAAATCCCACTCTCAACATTCTGCTTAATATTTTTTATGTCGGATTTATTTTGATTGCAGCACAGGTCCGGGGCCTCAATGGCAACAACGGAGGCCCATGACCTGCACCGATCCATAACCTACAACTCACTCTACACCGGCTTCATCGATTGCAACCATTGCAGAAAGGTTTACGTTACATGTGCCATCAAACTTAGGACAAGGAACAAGCATCTACCAATGGCCCTCCTCTCAACCCTTTTCCAGCATTGTGATTCTTCAAGTTCAAAGAGCTGCTCAACTCAGCAGAGTTAGCAAAAAAAAGGAGTACCTTGTTGCCAGAGCTTTGGATGTTTTGTGCTAGCTAGCATCCACTCAACGCTCGGCCTTGGTCTCGGTCTTCCATGTCTCTTTCTCTATCCTCCACAGATCCTGTTGAGGTCAAATTGCACTAATTGTTGAGGATTAGAAGAACCACTTGAAGCTCATCAATACTGCTACCGAGAATGAATCAATTGAAGAAGAAGAAGAACATGTGGTCAGCAGCTCAAGTATCTACTTGGCTATTTTTGTCTACGACTCTCCTCGAGAAGGAAGACATGGGGAACACCAACAAAAAGGCTCGCTTGCGATGCAGGGCACATCACATACACACAGCTGGGCGAGAAGAAAGCATGAGTTCAAGAAGCAGTGGCTGCACGCATCAGAGTCCCCCCATGTGATGCAAGTGGTCAAACTTTGGGAACTTGCCCGGCAGGCGACTCTCTCTTCCACCCCCCAACATCTGGTCTATCCTTTTTGATGTCTGATCCAAAGAACCAATCAAAGAGAGCAGATGGCGCGTAGCTCTTGTTTTATTGCTCCAACAATGGACGTCTGAATCCAATATGGATGGCGGTAGATCAGAAACGAAGAGGTCAGCATTACAGGAAGATTCAACATTCATTGATCTAATACACACTCACTAGTTCTACAAGGACACATCAAGGATGCAGTTTCATGCTGTCCCTGTCAATTATGGCTTCACATTTGTGTGGTCATCCCATCCCATCTTCTCGATGATATACTTCTAATTCTTGCTTCTGCACACAAATGGTTTTCGTAGTGTGGCCAAGATGGGCTAATAATCGTCTTAAATGTTGACGTAAAGATGGTAAGAGCCAACTGTTCCATTCCCATCGACATCACCTCCCTCCTCCACCTGTGCCCATTTGTTTGGAGATCATTGTGAAGCTAATGGCGAGTGGGGGCTGAGAAAGGTGTGTCATCTGGGCTTGGATCTGACATCCTCCACATGGTTTCGCAAGAGTCATTGCCTAGTCTTCCATAGATCTATAAGTTGCAGAAGTTGTGGACTTTGATGCAGGATTTGGGTCCCTATCTCTCATTTTTCCTTCCCCTATCTTCCTACCTCTTCTTTCTGAGGCTGAACTAAAAGCTCAAATAAATCATGGTGGTCACAGTACATTGTTGACATAGCTGGGCAACTTCTAGAAACGATTATCTTGAGCAAAAAGATTGAGCTAGAAAACTAGCAGAAGTGTTCAAGTTGAGAATCCATTATTATTTTTATTGAAGTTGGTGAAAATTTTTTGCTGCACTCAAAACTTTGGCTGAGAGAGCAATGGGCAGAGGATTCAGACAAGCAGCACTGGTCCCACCTTGTTTGGGTGACTTGTCCTCATGCTGGGCAATACTGAGAGGTAGTGAACAGATACATATAAAGATGTCCTCATGCTAAGAGTTGTCACTTTCTCCAGGGGTTTGGTGCATCGAAGAGGAAGCTCGTAATGGTGAGGTTGGGGAATGGAAAGACATGTTCCCTGACTCATGCAGATGTGAGCTTGCAGTCCAACATTATGAACCCACTGCCACACATGAAGACAATATGTTTGATTCACTTGGAGAGTCATTCAAACTCAGGAATGCGAGGGGTCGTTGGGTTATTTGTTATTATTCAATCTGATAAAATAATTGATTTTATTAATTTAATTGGACTGAAATCATGTGATATAAAATACTTAAAATCACTAAGTATCCTTCCATAATCAATCTGACAAGGGAGTAACTAATAAGAATGTAGTTGATATTTCAATGTCATTTGATGTCTCGTTACTATATACATGTCTAACCCCTTACGCCATCTTACTTATACTTTAGTTTTAATTAAATAATATTTTGATGTCACATGATTCTATCTTGATGTTATGTGATCGATACCTCAAAGTCAATCAGACGAAATATGTTCGAAGCTCCACGACCATGCAGGGTGATATATTGATAGCACACGACTAAGTTGACTAAATTGATGCTATGTTCCTTGACTCAGAGTAACATGATTATAGTCGAGATAGAGAGAAATATGTAACTACTTCATAAATTTTAATCATAAGAGTAATGGTCCTAAAAGCCTACTAGAAAGATATTTCTTAGATAAGTTTCCCATGAGCTAGAACAATGTTTTGAAAACTTATTTCAAATCGTTCAAATCTAACGTATTTATCAAATACACCCTGATTCAATTTAAACTAAGACAAATATGAAAGAAGGTCTTGGTTGGCTCCAAACTATTTGACCTGGATAACTAAAATCTATTTTAACACAATCCAATATGAAATTAAATCAAATATTATATTTTATGTTATGTTTTCTATTTAAGATTAAATATTTTTTTAAGGTCCAATGGACATAATATATAGAATTAAACCCTAAATAATGATGCACTCGAGATCGAATTCAATAATAAAGCTTTACTAAGCTTTACCATAATATATGTTTCGTGCCAATACTCTCCATCATCTGATGGAAAAAACACTCTG